CTTCTTCCAATCGCACCAGAGAGGATATCTGTGTATTTTTAAAAGTCTCGGGCAGGTAGGGACGTTGTATTCACACCGTTGCCGTTCTCAGATTTATAACTACAGCCGCAGAACCAAAGAGAGACAACGTGTGAGAAACACAAAATTTTGAGGAAAGTTGTGACGTCTGGTTGAGTTTTCCCTCTTTCAAACGTCGCCCAAAAGAAGCTTTTGGAGTTGAACTGAGCAAAGACTAGCCCAGAAAGATGACAACAGCCGCCCGTCCAACCTGGGACCCAGCGAGAGGCGGGACAGGGAAGGGGGAGGGCGACCTGAGTAAGCTGTCCAAACAGTACTCCAGCAGGGATCTACCAGCACACACCAAACTCAAATACAGGTAAAGGTGAACTCACTGGCTGATCTAAAATTACGTCTAACTCGTATTACTTCTCATTTAGCCCTACAATGGGTCACTCTACTGCTTTAGCTTTGCCAGTTTGCCTTCTTAAAATATTTCACATCAACTTGTGTAGGCCACTGTAAACTTTTAGTAATGCTGTACAAAATGGCAAGCTTCTATAAACACCAAACTAAAAACTCATGACTCCTACCCAGAAAACAGCATGAAATGGTCACAAAATATTGTACAAGCCCCTTTTAAATTATTCCAGCTTTCAAGTAGTTGAAAAGTAGAGTAAGACCATGTGCAAATCATTATGTATCATAATTTCCATCTCATTCTCACCGGTATCAAATACTGAAATAGTAATACAACAGCAGTCTGCCTCCATCAGACAATATGAGTAGATCTAACGTACAGTTTCTCCCATGTGCTGTTGTGTACAGGCAGCCAGGTCAGGACACCTCCGAGGAGGTTCGCAGCCGTGACTTCCGCCGTGAGCTCGAGGAGCGTGAGCGCCAGGCTCGCGTGGAGAAGAGGGGGGATCGCAGAGGTTCGGAACTCCCAATGATTTTATTTCTACATACATGTATATACCCATCTTTTACCTTCTATTATCAGTGCCCCATTTGTATTTGTTACAAGGTTACTCAGGAGGGACAAGATCAAAACTGTGCATTGAGTCAATGACCATTGTGAGTGACTCAGTCCTTGATAATTGACCTTATCATCACCAGCTTTTATCACACCCAAGTAAAATTGAAGAACAGTGCCATCACATGTTAATGCTAATTTGTTACAACTGAAACAGATTAATCATCTTATTGAGACTAAACCATCCTATTGTTCTTCCTGATATAGAACCATCTGGGTCATCCAAGCGCCCCCGCCTTGACCAGATCCCAGCAGCAAACTTGGATGCAGATGATCCTGTAGATGATGATGTAAGTATGACAGACAGGTACAGACAAATAAAGAAGTCATCTTGCATCAAAAGTTTCATGATACACGTAGAGCAAGAAATCAGAGATACATCATGGTTTATATTTCGTACCATGTTAACACAGTTCCCATTCCTGGTGACATCACAAACTACCAGTAAGTCACAAACCCTGTCAATCAACTGAAAGTAAATCTCAGCCCACCAACTTCCAATACTTGCTTCTGAGGACAAGATATGTATATGCAAACACTAACTAAACATCACTGCCCAAAACAGTACTTCCAATGCTTTGGCTACCAATTTCAAATTGAATAATGAGGTAGCCCACAACATAGGAAATCCTCTTTATGATGGCATGTAACATATTTTCTTTCCTTCAGGATGACGATGATGATGATGATAGTGATGATGATGACACAGCAGAACTGCTGGCAGAGCTGACAAAAATCAAGAGGGAGAGAGCACAGGAAGAAGCCAAGAAGGTAGGCAAGGGCAAAAACTAGCCAAAAAGTATAAGTGCTTACCTTAGAGGCTTAGATCCACCTGCAACATTGTTTTTTGCAACAATTTGTAAGATAGTATTAGTTTTATGCAGCCTCCATTTTTTTTGCGTGTTTCATGATTTTCTCTGATGACAGGAACAAGAGAAGAAGGTTCAGGATGAAAAGATCCGTACAGAGAACATTCTCCATGGCAACCCCCTCATGAACCAGGCTGCTGCCAACTTCAAGGTCAGCCGAAGGTGAGCGCTGCACTATTTTCTCTGAGCAATTTTGCTTCATTTTTTATTATCTACCAGTAACCTGTTAAAATTTGTGCTGGGTTCCAGCCTTTTTACCTTTAGTATGCTTTCACGGTAGCTTCTGTCTTAGTACGCGTGTAGATCTGTATCTGTATAGGGTGTTTAACTGCCCGTAAGCGTCAAACAAAAGGCATGCGGCACAGTAGCGGCTGGCTATATTACACCAAGCAACCAGCTATACCCAAGCTAACTGCAGGCATTGTTTAAAGCTTTCTACTAGTGATACCAAGAAAGTTTCTAACTTTATTTTCTCCCATTTCTCACAGATGGGATGATGATGTTGTGTTTAAGAACTGCGCCCGCGGGACAGAGGATAACAGCGGAGGTTTCATCAACGACACTCTCAGATCAGACTTCCACAAAAGGTTCATGAACAAATATGTTAAGTAGACAGCCCAACGGTGAACCTATGGTGTACAGACTTTTTACTTTGTCATGTCATTACCATACTGTACTAATAAACTGTACCAATACCTTCCACTAAAGTACATGTACTGTAAAATACTTGGAAACTTTCTTCTGTTGTGTGGACCATAACTAAGGTAATGCATAAAATCGCTTAAAATCACTTATCTTCAAATTATGTACAAAATATCAACAAAAACATTGTAGACAAAGCTAGAAGCAGAATAGAAAAGAAAAGATTCTCCATATCTGTATTAACGAAATAACCCATGTATTTTTAACACTAGCATTAAACTTGCATTTTCAGTCTTTCCATGAACAGATATTTGCAGCATGTTTTCAGAAAGACTTTGCGTGTGTTCCCTCTGTTACCGGGCGGTACTTGAGTATTTTCTTGTTTCAGTATGTGCTTGTATTATTTGCCAATCTCCAGTAAACCTAACAGATATTTACATGGCCACTTTTTAGTAGTGACATTGAAGTACAAATGTAATTGTGGTGAGTAAACATAAGATTGTGACAAGTATATCTTTACAATTCTACAAAATGTCATGGTCAGCATATGTATTACACTTACCAGTATGTACTGAAGCTTATTGAGGGACTCTGGAAATATTTTATGTACTTGGATTAAACTGAGTTAAACATTACAAATGACTCAGGAGTGATGATAAAATCTTGTCAGAAATACTGCAATTATATGTTACACTTAGAGCTGTGTACCTAAACAAATTTTAGGTACAGGTACAGGTACAGGTACACAGGTTTAGGTACAGGTCCGGACCTGAACCTGTACCTGAACAATTCGACCAATTTATATGCTCTTCTGAACTCCTTCAATAACAAAAAACATAAATAAACTTGATAGTTAAGGTGTATTCTTTGTTTATGGCGAATGCTCAGACAAAAAAATATAGGCAAAACTAAGTGTTTTTGTTTTCATGAACACACTGTCCTTACACAGGGACCCATTGTTAACCAGCTATTTACACATTTGAGGTCACAAATAGGCATAAAATTGGTGTGAAATTATTTAGGTACAGTACCGGTACTGAGGGATTAGGTATTTTGGACCTGTACCTAATCAATTTTTCCGGTACAGTATCGGTACTGCGTACCGGTACACAGCTCTAGTTACACTACATTCTGAATACATGGGTCCTGTAGTGCAACGGCAGAGCATTCGGCTCAGAACCAAAAGGTCCCGGGTTCGAACCCTACTAAATCTCCAGCCTTGTGCCCTTGGGAAAGGCACTTTACACAACTCTCCTCACTTAACTCAGGTGAAAATGAGTTTGCCAGAATGATCATTATCATGATCGTGGGCGTTAAAAAGAAAAACAAACCAAACCATAACTCTTATTTGCTACACTACATTCTGAATACTAGTACATAACTCTTATTTGCTAACTGCAAATTCCATTGCACATGCTTAAGAAACAAATTGCCAATGAAAGTACCGCTAGCCAATGTGCACATGGCATAAAAGTTTCTAGGCTGAAAGTCCCAATGAGTAGAATTGATCTTGTACAGGGTTACATTTATACAGGTCATAATCTCACTGGGCAGGAGACCACACCAGCTTTGCAGGCATGCGGCGCGGTGGCAGCTGGCTACATTATACCGATCGACTTGTTACACCTAAACCTTGAACATCTAACTCTAAACGTTGTTATCTAATGATAATACACCTTCGGTACTTGATGACAGCGAGTTCCACTCTGTGATAGTTATAGCGAAGAATGAGTTTTTGAACACCTCAATCCTTGGTTGATAACTCTGGTACTTGAAAGCGTGGCTATTTCTTTCTGGGCTTGTATTAGGTACTTAGTAGCTACTCCCTGCGGCCACGAGTATGCCTGTCATTCATTGGCCTTGTCAGCTACCAGCTGGCGTGCAGCAGGAGAGGGAAGAGGCCCTGAAATCTTCAGAAACAAAGCCAAGCTGAGATAAGCTACTACTACTGTAGCATCTGACACACTTCATCTGCCAAAGCGGTGAGGTCTGCCTCCCTCAGAGCCAGTTGTAGAGCCTGAACTGTAGCAGCGCCCCCCTCCCTCAGCCGCCATGTTTCCAGCACATCCATGCAGCACTCCTTAACCTCACGGGGATGTCTGGTCTCGATGCCGTCAATCTGAGCAGGTTTCAGACCAAGTTTCCTGGCAAGGTCTTTCCACTTGTCAGGACCTGTGTCCTCAGCAATGGTGAGGAAGACAACTGTGCAATAAAATGAAGAGAAGACTTTAATAATTGTATAGGGCGTGATTTATAAATGACAAAATATAATGAAGACTCGATTTAATGAAATGAAAGAAAAAACTTTAGGAAAAACAATATACATGTATTTCAAATATCAAAACTGTTGTTCTTGAAGTGTAGATTTTGATAAACTACAATCATATGTTTTGGTACAACGGCTGTAAGACTCCTAAAGAGAATGTTACCTTGCAGTTTCTTTTTCAGGTTAACTACCTCCACCTTTTCCTCAGCTGTACCTAAAGGCAAAGAAAAAACTTATGTCTTAAAAGTAAGGCATTGAATTAATTGACTATCATTCCAAATCCTTGATCAATCATCAAATTTTACCACAGGATGATACAGTTTTCTGCAGTGCATTGAAAATCTTGAATTTGAGTGTACTTAGTATTCACCTTCAATTTCCTGTACTATTGCCTTGAGAGAAGCATCCACTAGTGCATCTCGGAGGACTTCAATGGAGGCGTTTGTCCCTTCCCTGTTCTGCCAGGTGTCTAAGACATCCATGCAGCTTTCTTTGAGGTTCCCTCGATGTTTGCTGCCCACGTCTTGGATCTGAGCTTCTGTAAGTCCCAGTCTGCGAGCCAGGTCTGGCCATCTGTACCCGGTCTCTGAGGAAATGGTGTCAAAGACGGCCTGCATGTCTTTGAGGAACATGCATTCAGTTGATTAAAATCTGGGTAAGCTTCATTGCTTTCATGATAAAGTGAAGCTACCTCAAGCAAGTCTGGTTTTATATACTGTCATTTAAGTTCACCTTTGAGTTGGTAGATCACGTGCGAAAGTTAAACTGGTCTCCAGCTTTTAAAAAACTGGACTTTTTGACTGACTCACTCAGTCTTCCTCTGAAGAAGACTGGGTAAGTCAGTTGAAAATTTGAAGTTGAGCCCATTTTTTTGGAGTTGTAGAACAGTTGAACTTTTCCACAAGTCTGGTTTGAGACATTTACTTGCTGATTGCAAACATAAATGTTATATTGCCTTTCCTGGAGAAATTTATATATATGGAGAGTTCTTACCATCAGCATCCATGTCATTGCTGCCTCCTTGTTCTGTTCCACGGCCTTGTTCTGCTGACAGACTGGTATTGCTGACAGAGGTTGAGATCTCTTCTAGCACAGCACTGGTCCTGGAAATTGCTTCCTGTACGTCTACCTTCCCAGACACTTTCTCGTACATGTCAAGTGCTCTTGTCAAAGCGACCATGGCTTCGTCAGGCCTCCCCTGTCCTTGCTGTGCCTTTCCGAGGAACTCCAATGCCTCAGCAGTCCAGACGTGAGTTCCCCATCTTCCTTCGTACCAAGTTACCGCTATCTGCAGTTCCTCTTCTGCTTGTTCGTACTGTTCTGTGTGTATGAACACTTTGCCAAGGTTCATGTTACTCAGTACCGACTGTTCACCGTCCACATAATTCACCTCTTTCTGCATCTGTTTGGCTTCTTGTAGGTACTGCAATGCTTTGTCATAGTCCTTCCTGTACATGTACTGCTCAGCAACGTTATTCAAGGACTCCACCTTGGTCTGAGCAGGTTTTTGGAACCATTTGCGTTTCATGTAGAGAGCCTCTTGGTGTAGCTGTAAGGCTTTCTCTTTTTCTCCTAACTTGTCATAGGTGATAGCAAGGTTGTTTTTAGACGGACCTATGAGTGGGTGATCTTCGCCGACCATTTCAATCCTCATCACAAGGCACCTTTCGAAGTATTCTTTAGCTTTCAAATAGTTTCCTGAAATGCCGAAAAATTATATTTTAGCATTGAAATTAATTATGTATGAGGAATGCAGAGAAGGTTTACTGTTTTCAGAATTAATTGCTTTTCTGAAGTCTGTTTTTGCTTACAAATGCCAACAGATGGGGTAAATGGAGGCAATGTACAAACCATCCAAAAAAATCATAGTTTTACTCACCAACAAAGCTGTGAACGATTCCCAAGGTGGCCAGTGTTATCGCCTTTCCCAAATGGGGCCCATGCTTGAGACGTTCCCACATCTCAAGTGATGTCTCAAGAGAGCTGAAAACAGAACAGAAGAATGAACATTTGGGGATGAACAGATTTGGTGCTAACAACATTTGACATGTTAATACAGCCTTCAACGACACATTTTGCCCATAGGCAAGTCATTATACAATACACAATACATTACGGGTTTTGCAGAGGCACATTGCATTCTGTCAACAAGCTGACATGCAGTCACCACAACCTTGGCTTCAGATGGTTAGCACACAATGTACTTACAAAACAACTTAGATTTGCAGCAATAACTCTATATCGAAGACAATAATGGAAAACCATTAATAGTATGATGGAAACATAACTCATAAGCTTTAAGTTATAACTTAAGTATATATAATATTTGGATACAAGTAGAACAACTACCTGATAGCTTCCTCGTGTTGTCCCCTGGTGTGGTAGATCCCTCCAATGTTGGAGTATAGCCTTGCTAAGACGGTACTGTCTCCTTCATGCTCAATCAATTGTTTTGCCTGCATATATTTCTCATAAGCCTCCTCAGGTCTATCTTTGTAGTTTGCCAACACCTGAGAACAATCCAGTATTTTGTTAATATCTATCTATAAAAAAAGTGCTGAGCTTGTTTCTATGTGTAACATTATAGCTTGATTTGATTCAATTTATATACACACATTCAGGACCCATACTTAAACATGTTTCCTTATCCTATGATTTCCTATATGATGGTATGTTGAAAGACATCCATTGTACAGAGTCAAAGAAAAAATTGCATTTCATAAAGCGGTTTCAAATTCGAACTGTCAGCATATCAGTTGATAGCATATCACTATCAACTGTACATGTCCTCACTACTTGTGAGAAATTGAGCTGGTCTCAATCATGATGTTTCTGACTCAGGGAGAAGAGTTGCTGTTACAGTTCTACTCGGTAACCCGCAATCCAGGTGAGTGGTCATACCATTCAGGTGGTAGCACCATTCACCTTGAAGTGGCCTATATATTAGATGGCTGTGTTACGTGGCGACCACTAAGGCCACACCGATTTAATTCTATGGATGACATCCTCTGAAGACCCCCAAACTAGTGTGCGCGGGCGAAAAAAATAAAAATCCGGCCAAAAATAAAAATGCTACAAAACCACAGGAATACAAACCTGGTATTGTGAATTTGGCGCATTACATAGCGACGTATACGACAGGCCGACACATGCTGGATTTTTGCAGAATATATGAATCGACACTGCTGTACGTATGTACTGAGTTCTTGAGTCTTGGAGCTTCGGTAGCCTGGCTGCCGTCAACCAGAGTTATCACCACCATGCACTACCCAGGCCTAAAGCCAGGCCAGAGCCTCGGAATACGTGATCTTTTTTTTTTTTTTGAGATCGGGCGAAAATCAATGCGCGCGCGGATGTCATCCATAAAATTAAATCGGTGTGGCCTAAGTAAAAAAAAATGTACTTTCCATCTAATGTAATCTGTGCCTCCTATCTGAAAGCTTGTTTATTGTGAAACTTGTGTGTACTCACAAACCCAATGATTGTCAGAATTCTTGCACGTTCCTTCAGTGTTCCACAGACCATGGCAGAGTTGAGGCAGGCAGTGTAGAATGGAATGGTCTGGTTGGGATCCCGCATGTACTGCATCAGGACTTTCTCTCCATCAAAGGCAGCATCAATGAAAACCCTGTGGAGAAAATATTTATCAAAGGGAATGCATGATGGACACTAACACTTTGTTTAAAGTCATCACTGACAACAACCTCCAGTCATTCAAAAGGCATCTTCTTTCCACCACCAGGCCTCGTGCATGTAACTGAACACCATCCATGCATAAATATAGACCTGTCCTTGGTGCTGAACACCATCATATATAACCACACATAGATATGCACACAAACACACTTGTCCTTTGTGCTAAACAACATTCATTCATATATCATAGATGTACAGACCTGTCCTTGGTGCTGAACACCATCATACATAACCGCACACAGATGCACACACAAACACAGTTGTCCTTTATACACATCAATACAGATATTTTTATTAGAGAATATTTACTTAACTAGTATTTATGATTCTTGCAGGGATTTTCTGTAACTTTGCAGTTGTTGTAAACCAATGATTAGCCAGGAGTGTTACAACCCAGGCTGTTGTTTACATTAGCACATGATAGAAACAAAAATTTGAATGAAGAGTAGGGTTAAGAACAGTGCAGACTTACCTGTAAGCATTGTCGTCAGAACAGTTTATGGCTTCCAGCATCATCTTCTCAATATTTCTGTAATCTGCTGTGAGTGCCTATGCATGACAATGACAAGAGTAATAAGCATTTAGTTTTATTATGCTTTGAACAAATCATACCTAGTTTAAGTTACTAACTATTGTATAATCATTATTATAATACATGTGTATATAAGTTTGTATAGGAGTACAATAATTACCCTATAAGTTGTTGTGTTGTCCCTTGTTGTGGTAGTATGAAAACAGATCAACATTACAGATTAAGTGACATCAAGGAGCTTTTAATTCAAATTGAATTTAAAGTTCCTTGGTGACTGGTGGCATTAGCAATTTTCATTGTCAAAGGCTCTTACCCACACGCCTCCTGAGGCATCCTTTGTCATTGCATCACCGATTTTCTTCAGAGCATCAGCAAAGAAGACGCAGTACCTTCGGCGGGTCACCCCAAGATCTAGATGGCTGCTGAGAGTTGTCTGCACAATATTCCGCAGGAGAGGATTGATGTCGTACCTCTCCTGGGAGTTGTGGAAGCCAAACTCCAAGAGCGAGCGCTGCCTGAGAGGACGCAGGGCGTGCGCCTTCACCACGGCCGTGCTCTCCTCCCCCGTAACCGCTGCTGCTGCCGCTGTACTAAAGGATCCTGGGATGAAGTTCAGTGCTGCGTAGTGTTTCTTCAGTACCTCAGTCAGTCGGTCCACCGCACTACCCAAAACGTGGCCTACTTGTTCACTCTTACTGTAGCTCTCGTCGCTGAGTGGGCTCTCCAACACATTCTTTTTAACAAGCTCAATCAGTTCCTCTGGGGTGTAGCCTGGCTCCTCTTCATTGTGCTTCAGTTCATTTCCAGCTATAGTCAGAGCAAGAGGTAGACCACCGCAAAGGTCTGTGATATCTGAGAAGCGGTCTGTGGGAATGTTCGGGGCCAATGTCGTCAGTAGGGCTCTTGCCTCATCACTATCAAGACGGCTCAGGTGGATACCGAAAAAAACGTGCTGCTCTTTTGCCAGGCGAAACTTTGTGCTCGAGGTCACCAGGAAGAAGACTTTAGAAGAAGCTTTGATGATCTCACAGACCACATCTAATAACTGGGATCGTAGTTCACCGTCGTCCACAATAGTGTCCATGTTGTCCAAGATAAAGAGGTGGAAGCTTGTGTGCTGTTCTTTTTCCAGATGCTTTACCTTTTCGAGAGCAATGACCAAGGCTTCTCGGGATGATATCGATCCAGGAAGAGCTCCGCCCAAGAGAGCTGCAAACACTGCATCGATGATCAAGTTAGTGCTCTTGAGGTTCCTCACATCAAGGTGGTGTCTCTTAAGACTGATGTTTCTCTCTCGACATTCCACAAAGATCTTGAGTGCGGCTTCCTTGGCTAGGCGGCTTTTACCCATGCCAGGCAGGCCAGATATCAGACCGATCCTGCAACCATGTTCGAAGTTTTGCTTGATCTTGCTCAGCTCCTTCTGTCTTCCATGGAAGGGGATGTCTGGGAAATCAATTTCACTGCTGATACCTGCTCCAAATGGTACACTTCCCTTTGGGAAGCATGGTGGTTCTGTTGAATGTAAAAGAATGGAACATTAATACATGGCCAAATAGTATTATACAACTTCATTTTTTACAAGTAGTATTAAGCAGGTTTGCAGAAAAACCTGTCCACCTTTCAGGCCAGGCTACCTGGCCAGTCCACCAGGACATTTCAAATTACTGTCTGTATAAGAAGACACAATACACAAGATGTATTTCATAATACTTAAGACAAATGTCATGGACACAATTTGCATTGTGTACACTTAGTGTAGGCTGTGTGCATGCATTATAAAAGCTATTTTTGTTCTCCTATACACAAACCTTTCTGACTTGTCTCCTCTTGAGACTCATGGTCACTGCTGACTGAGGAGCATTCAGGACCACCAGCTGTTACAGGTACTGTAGTGTTCCCATCTGCAGTGAAGCAAGGCTTGTGATGTTTTCCCGGTGGAGCACTGTCTTCTGTTGCACACCTTTTCCTTGTCTCTAAACAAATCTCACCTGTCAATATGAGAAAAGTAGGGTTCTCCTTGTTTATCAGAAACACATTGATATAGCAAGTCATTGAACTTCAACAGTTACTGTGGTTTTACTGGCAAAATTATACTACAGACACTTCAGTAAGGTGCACTGTACAATAATATTTTGACATACATTTGCCTCACCTCACCAGTCCCATAGCAGACAGAGTTATATTAAACAGAAACCTCATACAAATACAATGCATTTGAACCATGTTCACACATACTCCTGTTTATTGCTACTTACGCAAATTATGTTATCAGCATTTCAAAACGTCATCAAGTGACAAGAATTTCAGCTTCACAGAATTTATACGTCAAATGACTAAAGGTCATCTTACAAAATAAGATTTATGTAATATTTCATGATCTCATGTACCAAAAAGTTTAGCATTAGACATTTCAAATTGGGAAATACAAATGTATTTCCTTCATCAATTGCACAGCAAAAGCTCACTACCTACTTACCTTCCTTTCTCTGTACCTCCTCTGCCTCTTTTGCCAATCTTGATTTCTTCAGGCCTTTCAGCACTTCTATCAGTAACCCTAAACGACCTTCACCAATCTTGTTCTCATCTTCTAGCATCCTAAAAATCTGCAGAGGCGTGGCCTTCTCCAGTCTCCTTCCTCCAAGGACATTTCCAAGGAGTGCTCGTAAATTTTTCACTTCCCTTCTTTCTAAGTCATCATCTATTTCCAAGTACAATTTGTAACGGAGGGAAAGTTCATCCATGATTGGTACACCAGTTGTCACTGAATCCTCTTCATCGGCCAGGGCAGTCCTTGCAAAAATAAAACATGTCACACTTTGTCTGTGGAGTTCTGAACCTGGAATGTACCTTGAACAATGGGCAAGGAGGTATTGTTTTGGTTGCTTGTCTGTGTGTTTGATTGTATTTGTAGAAACAACACAACATGTATTCAAATGCAATGTGCTGTACTGTGGCAGTATGATGGGATGGTTACAGCAGATTGACCGTAAGGTCATGTTGGAAGGAAATGATTGTTGCCAGGTTGGGAGGAATACCCACGCAAGTCACCCAATTGATGTTTGTTTTGTTTTTGTCGCACAAGACAGTTTCTTTATCTTAACTAAGGCCCGTTCAAAGTACATCACACCATCTCTTTGGTTGAGCCAATGAATTACATAATACATCGACAGAATTAAAAACACCAGTCTTGTATCCCATACAAGTAGCCTGTGCACTTTCACACAGCACAAGAACATTTTTATCATAAGTAAGCCCAACAATTTGACTAAAGCCGCCCACTGCTCTGCTCTACAAATATTCCATTGACTGCTGTCACAATACCTTTCGACATAACTCTGCCTATACCCTAGCAGGATGTGAGGTCATTGTTTACATCGCCAATAATTGTTATCCGGGCGTAACTCCCTCGCTTGCTCTGGGGCATTGGGGAACCTTAGCTGGTGTAAAAATAAGAATTGCGTATCAGCGCTCCTGTCCCCCTCCGCCCCTAAAAATAAAGGCCGCCGATCAAAAACGTCTGCAATTTCTTCTTTGTCTGTGCCATCAAGGACATTATAGTAGCCCGGCCAAATCCCCACTCAGTTGTTCAATATGCATCGATCGTAATGTTAGTGTACTTTCGCTTTCAACAAAAACGGATGTCGACCTCGTCTCTGCTCAGAAATACTAAGGATGGATAAACGTTACTTCGACATTGTTGGTAACTCAGTGTCAATTCAGCAATTCTACTACATGTATTATGTACGTGTCATTTCCCATATATCGTAGACAGTTAAGCAGCAGTTTACCGTATTTGTTTCCGTATATACCTACCATTTTGAATCACCTTCAGACAAACATGACCTAATTTTACGTGACTTTTACACCTGTATTCGCTAGCGAAAACAGGTGTTTCGAAAGTACTCCTACCTGCTCAACTTTTGGCGGTTGTACAGAGACTAACAAAATAGCGACGCCGCTGTATGAATGAATATTATGTTTGATAACGTTAGCTGTGTTACTTGGCTGGTACCCCCCTAGCCTAGGCCTTACCTGGTGGGAAACTCGAGCTCGTCGCTTGGAGCACGTCCTAAAGTTTTCACTGCATTTGTTTACACCGATCATACACGAGAACGGCAATTCTGAACCGCAAATTTGTCAAATGTATTATTCTACATACATTCTACGTACTGGTATACCTGACGAAAGATGTGCACCGATGTCAAAGGCATGGCGCACTGCTAAAAAGTCTGCCAGTCCTCTGCAAAGGTTGCTAGTAAGGGTATTCCCCTGACTCATTTTGCTGTTATGCAAAAATTCTACTTCTCAGAAGGCCCGCTGAGGATCATGGGGGTATTTACGACATACTCGGTGATCCTTTTATCTCGTTTTATGATGGATGACCAATCGAATTCCTAGAAATATCAATTATTGAAATGCTGACTGTGCAAGCAAAGATCATACGGTCTGGCTTGAACTTTAAACTTTATTTACCATCTTGTAATTTGGCCCGCTCATGGTGAATGATTAACCGCAACAAGGCCTTGTAGTGCGTTAGCCTCCGCAAAAGCAGCAGAGTTTTGCTTCAAGTATAGGATTTACATCCTTGTACGTCGGAAGAAAACTGTAGGGAGTCTAAATTGTTTCCTTTGAGTCCAAGAACTGGCTACAAGCGAAGCTGATCATGAAAAGTATTGGATATCTTTTTCTAGTCATTACGCTCAACGAGAAACAAAACATAGTTATTTCGGATTGACGTGATGTCGGTATATGTCCAAAGTTTAAATACCTCTTTGTTCATAGGATAAGGCACACCCACTGACGAAACATTTGGGGGAAATTTTTTGAACTCCAAAACCTCGTGAGACGTGACTATGTACAAAACCAGAGGTTTGCAAAACGTTAGAACCCCTACTATTAGCGATTGTATGAGATGTGTTAAGTTATATTTCAGATATCATGTCTAGATCTGCTATTGCAACTAGCTCTGCTTCTCTAAGGGCCCGTCGCATCTCGCCCCTCCCTCAGCCGCCATGTTTCCAGCACATTCATGCAGCTTTCTTTCAAGTCTCTGTGATGATGTGCCGCAATGCCGTCAATTTGGGCCTCCTTCAAATTGAGTTTCCTTGCGAGGTCTTTCCACTTAGTACGGGTTTCCTCAGCAGTGGTACAGAAAAGCCCTGCCATTGGCAAAATACATTAGTTTGGTCAATGTTTCTCTATATTCTAGATATCTGTATAGTACTAATGTGTATAGAAGACAATTGTATTTGTGTGTTCAGCACCAAGGACAGGACTCTATATATTTATGCGTAAATGGTGTTAAGCACCAAGGACAGTTTATGTGGTTATTAGAAATCTTGACGGTAGCACGTTAGGTCGACCCCATTCTATTTATATCTTTATTCCACAGAAATATCTTTCATCCACGGTCTGCCAGGACAATTCATTTATGTATTCGTGCCACACCGTTGGTTCTTTTAACTATAATTACATGCCCTCTCTTTTAGACTAAGGCAAGAATGACAGATCCTGTTTGGCTTGGTAACAATTTTTATTAGGGGTGAAGGCCGATTAAAAAATCATCAGGAGGGCGGGTGGGGAAAACATTCTCTCCTCGCGCTGAAGATATTTCTTCTCGCCGTCTCTCCTCGCGTTATGTCTTCTCGCCGTCTCTCGCCGTCTATTTCTTCTCGCCGTCTCTCCTGGCGCTGAAGATATATATTCTCGCCGTCTCTCGCCGTCTATTTCTTCTCGCCGTCTCTCCTCGCGCTGAAGATATTTTTTCTCGCCGTCTCTCGGCGTCTATTTCTTCTCGCCGTCTCTCCTCGCGCTGAAGATATTTTTTCTCGCCGTCTCTCGGCGTCTATTTCTTCTCGCCGTCTCTCCTCGCGCTGAAGATATTTCTTCTCGCCTGTCAAGCAAGCCCAAGCTTCAATCCCCAGGGTTGGACCCAGACATGTTCGGACATGTACCGAGACGTTACGTTAACACGTATAGCCCCCCTCCCCCCGTGTCCCAAGTGAGGTGTTTGGCGCGGTCGAACGTGAATGGCGTTTTCGCGACGAGGTTCGATTTGCGTATTTATCTCCTAGGCAGCCAACGGAGAGCCAAATTATGTAAGAATAAATGAATGAATGTGACCCTGGCTAGGTGGGCCAAGCAGATTGGGCACAGATTTTCACCAGAATTAATAATGCAGCCAATATGGTATAAGTGCATATTCGCACACTTGGTCCATGCCTCATGCATACCAATTGCTTGGTGACATATGCAACATTTTTCCTCGCTGGCAGCAGTTTCTTCAGACAAACTGGTGCGACACACGAACGCCAGGACAATTATATATATCCCGATTAAAAATGGTAAAGCAAACTTTATAAATAAGTCCATTAGGTATTTTCCCGAGGCACAGCGGCTTTCCGCCGAAATTTTCTGCCGCGCCCTGGATCTGAAATTTCTTAGCAGGGTATTTATAGAGATGGTATGCAATCTGATGGGCTAATGATACGTGTCGCCATGCCATTGGTCCTTGAGTGGGCATTGATTGATGTGCTGCTTCCGACGACGTCCGTATAGAATTAATGAATTTCTTCCGACGACGTCCGTACACACGCTTCCCAAACTACGTCATCGGCAAGCGGTGGTGTACTCTCCAAGCAGAGGTTTGGGTTATTTTTGCCAATTCTGGCGTGTTTTTAGTCTTTTTTATCGGGGTTTCTTTTTTGCACTGGAATATTTTTCCATCCAACCTCAAAAAAAAAATTCCTGTGCAAAAATGAAACCCCGATAAAAAAGACTAAAAACACGCCAAAAATAACCGAAAACCCAAACCTCTGCTAGAAGAGTAGCAGTTATGTCATTCATTATAAAATGTCAGAAATGCTTTCTCGTGTGGATATCAAATGATTTATTTGTTCATTTGAATTTACCACAAGATATACAAGTGGAAGGGAGGACAAAACAGGTGCATTGACACCTTTACAAGTTGTCCTCCCAAACACAACATACAGATATAAAAGCAGATTACACACCAAATTGCAGTAATGAACAACATTAACATCAAATATTATACATCAACATCAAGTATAATACATACAATGGTGATGTGTATAATGTTTACCCTGTTTGGTGTACTATATTTATCTCACTGCACAGATGACATAGCTCTCTCAGCCGGAGGTCATTGACCCCCACTCCAAGGGGGACGGCAACCTTATAATAGGGCCAGCGCCCGCCAGGAGCGCGACTTAGTCAGGCTAGCAGATGACATATCCATCTGTCAAAGTGGATATCACTCTTCCCATTAGCGAGTACATGTATGGGATCTTTAGTTATATTTCAAATATCATGTCTGCTATCGCAACTAGCTCTGCTTGCATCAGAGCCTGTTGTAAAGTTTGAACGGTCGCATCTCGTCCCTCCCTCAGCCGCCATGTTTCCAGCACATCCATGCAGCTTTCTTTCAAGTTGCCGCGGTTCCTTGATGCAATGTCGTCGACTTGTGCCTCCTTCAAATTGAGTTTCCTGGCGAGGTCTTTCCACTTGGTACCGGTTTCCTCAGCAACGACATAGAACATCCCTGCGATAATCATAAATACATTAGTTAAGAAAATATTCTCTGATAAAAATATCTGTACTGAATACTGATGTGTACAAAGGACAAGTGTGTTTGTGTGTGCATCTGTGTATGGTTATGTGTGTGATGGTGTTCAGCACCAAGGACAGGTCTTTACATCTATGATATGTGAATGGATTTTGTTTAGCACAAAGGTGTTTGTGTGTATATATATCTATGTGTGGTTATATATGATGGTGTTCAGCACCAAGGACAGGTCTATATTTATGCGTGGATGGTGTTCAGCACCAAGGACAGGTCTGTATATCTATGCGTGGCATTTCAGCACCAAGGACAGACACATTCAACTGACCATTGATGGTTACTCATAGAAAACTTGAATTGTTGACAGAGATATCTATGGCATTAGAGACATGCAAATTACCTTGCAACTTCACTTTACTATTTTCGACTTCGATCCTCTGCTCACTTGTATCTAGGGGGAACGAAAAAGAACATGTCATTTTCAGGACTCACAAAATGCGATATGTATTATATTTCTGGTCCAGCCGTAACTACTAGTAATATCCAAAGCATACTATATAGGACTCTGCATACACTTTCTAACAACAGCAATGTAAGAATGAAAAGCATAGCATCTTGATATCATTATGGACTAACCTTCAAGTTCCTCGGCTATAGCCTTGAGAGAAGCATCCACTAGTGCATCTCGGAGGACTTGAATGGATGCGTTTGTCCCTTCCCTCTTATGCCAGGTGTCTAAGACATCCATGCAGCTTTCTTTAAGATTCCCTCGATGTCTGCTGCCCACGTCTTGGACCTGAGCTTCTGTAAGTCCTAGTCTGCGGGCCAGATCCGGCCATCTGTACCCTGTCTGTGAGGAAATGGTGTCGAAGACGGCCTGCATGTCTGTAATATTGCAAATGTATCTAAGTTACACATCAGAACCCTTGGACACTGAGGATGTACAAAGTTACAAGCTTCACTTTTATTCCAAACCTATTAATGCTTTGAGCCTAAAATCAGACACCACTCATTTGAAAAGCTGCAAGAAATACGCATGGAAGAGAACATCGATAGTCCCTTACCAGTAGTAACATTGCCTGATGTACTCTCATGTTGAGTCAGATTAGACGATAAACTGTGGGTTGTTTGCGTTGTTTTTTCCTCCATATTGTTGTCGTTTTTAACTGCTCCATCGCTTCCTTTTTCTTCTCCTTGCCTTGGGCTTTGCGTTGATGACGATGCGGCCATGGTGTCACTGCCTGAAGATGTAGTGATTCCTTCTAACAAATCCCTGGTCCTTGGAATCGCTTCCTGTACGTCTACCTTCCCAGACACTTTCTCGTACATGTCAAGTGCTCGTGTCAACACGGTCCTGGCTTCGTCAGCCCTCCCCTGTCCTTGCAGTGCCTTTCCAAGGAACTCCAACGCCTCGGCTGTCCAGACGTGAGTTCCCCATCTTTCCTCGTACCAGGCCGCCGCTATGCGTAGTTCCACCTCCGCCAGTTCGTACTGCCCGGTTTCTATGTACAATTTACCGAGGTTCACGTTAGTCAACACCGACTGTTCGTCACCATCTCCCACCTCGTCCTGCATCTGTTTGGCCTCTTGTAAGTACGGGAGCGCTTTTTCGTAGTCCTTCCGATGCATGTACTCCTCCGCGACGTGGTTTAATGACTCCACCTTGGTCTGAGCCGGATGGTGGAACCAGCGCCGTTTCATGTGAAGACCTGTGTTATCATATTCATTTTTAGAATTATGATTATTTTGACATTATGTTGTATCCACTTATTTTTTAATAAGTTTAAAGTTATTTATGCCTTTGTCGATTTTGTTGGCACCTTCGTTGTTTAGGTACAACACTGGATTATCTTAAGATTATTTTGTTTTTCTTTGTTGACCTTTGTCTTCTATTAATTTTGAATTTACCTAAATTATGTTGTTATTTTCATATACCATTTGTACACGTTTTTTTTATTCATATTTCATTTCATTATGTTATGTTGGACCCCAGGAACAATAGTGCCTAAACACTGATGGGGATCTGACTAAAAACAAACAAACCTCGTAAGTGCAGCTCCAAGGCGTTGTCTCTGTCGCCCATGTTGTTATAGGCGATGGCAAGGTTGTTCTGGGTCGGCCCGATGAGGGGGTGGTTTTCACCGCACATCTCGATCCTCATCTCCAGACATCTTGTGTGGTAATCCCTGGCTTTTTGGTGGTTACCTAGAACAAATGAATTTATTCATTGGTCGAACGTTTATGCTCTTAAGGGCTACGTACAGTTTAAAAGTTAAAGTTAAAGAGCCTTCCCGCGTCCAGTGACGCATAGGGCGGCGCCCATCTCCGTTCATTAGCCCTGGGCCAAACACAGCAGTCACTACAGCAGGGGGCTAGTCCACTGACAGTGGTGTGTGTTTAACTCCCACACTCTTTCCCAAATGCTGAGTGCTAAGCAGAGAAAACAGTATTGAGGCAAATGATTGATACTTCGAAAATGTTGGACTTTTCAAAGTCTTTAAAGTCATTTTAAAGTCATTTTTAAAGTCTTTGGTATGACCCGGTCGGGGTTTGAACTCACAACCTTCCGGTTACAAAGCGAGCACTCTACCAATTGAGCTACTGCACCGTTTCAGGCTACGTACAGGCCATGGCAATAAAGCAGTTCTAAGTGCAATAACAGTCACTGTGATGTAAGAGTAATCAAAGATGTCTAAAAGACTTACCGACAAAGTCATGGACGATCCCGAGGGTGGCTAGAGTGACGGCCTTCCCTCTTGTCGGACCGTGTCTGAGACGTTCCCACATCTCCAATGAATCTTCCAGATATCTGACAGTAGACACATTAAAAATTTAACAAGTTAGTGTACTAGTATGTCATTTTTCCTAAAGCATCAGCATCGTATAAGAGGATACGCTGTACCTGATAGCTTTGCTGTGTTGTCCCCTGGTGTGGTAGACGTATCCAATGTTTGAGTAGAGTCTCGCCAGGGCAGTGCTTTCTCCTAATGGCTCGAGTAGCTCCTTAGCCTGGATGTACTTTTCGTACGCATCCTCATACCTGCCCTGGTAGTTTCCCATTGCCTTTACAACGATACAAGAGTTGTGAAAGATGAATAGAAGATTCTCACTCAATGTTGGACTTCATTTCTCCTCAGTAATTTCATTGTATAGAATACGCACACATACCGACACACACGCGCGCGCGCGTACACACACGCACGCACACACACACACACACACACACACATATACACACACGCACACACACACACACACACACACACACACACACACACACACACACACACACACACAAACAAGCACGAACTGAGTCGACTAAATCTTCTTAATCTGCCCTACTACCACGTATTCCCTTACCCATTGCCTCATCCACTACTCACCACTTGGCTCAGCAGCGTTACCTAAACTTTAAGTGGTAGTATCGTGAAGAAATCCAGACATCACTTATCACTGAACACTTAATGTTGTACAATAACGCATCACAAGTCAACATACTTTCAAACAGTACTCACAAAGCCAGTGACGTTCAGTAATTTGGCACGTTCTTCCGGACTTCCATAGACCATGGCTGAGCTCAGACAAGCCTCGAAAAACGGGACCGCCTGGGCCGGATGGACGTACTGGTTAATGACTCTCTCTGCCTCGTATACAGCACGCATCAGGGCCCTGGTGAACAAGATATAGGAGACATCAGACTCCAGTGTTCCTAGCATCAGTGAATATATTGAAACTGTATTATACCTGATTGAATTTGACCATAGAATATGACTCTTACTATTGTACGGCGTAACTTGTTGCGGTGTTACAACGTAGTTTATTTTCATACCGTGGTTACACAGTACATATTCCTGGCAATCCCATACCACATCCTACTGCCCAGGACATACCGGATTCACAACCATGTCAATCAACCGACACCCAATCTCCATCTACTCATTTCAAGTCCTCGCTACGCAGGACAAGATATATACAAACATACCCTAAACCAGCACAACCCAAATCAATACTTCCGACACGGAAGTTCTTCTTTTATTACTCCGTGAAGGAGGTCAGGACCTCCGGACGGAGTGTTGTAATCGGCTGATTTTTCATGTTCGCAGTCAAAACACTGGGTTCTCTTTGTGTAATCGGCACGCAATTTTATACGCCGTCTGCGGGCATGCCCGTGTTGATGCACGAATGTGTATTTTTGCCGTTGCTGCTTTCGCGGTCAATGTAATATCGCAGACGCACCCCTACAATTACGAGGCGAATTGGAATGGTCCAGAAAAACGCGTTGTTTGGAATAGCAGTGGGGTTCAAAAAAGTTCATGCAGATACGGGGTGGTTTTTATAAGTGGTTCCAGATGTTTTTGCCCATGGTTAAGAGATGCCAAGTTTTTTGGAAGATGTTCGCAGCCAAAACGCATTCTTCCGTACGTCGCATTTCTGTGTAATTTCGCATGTGGTGTTGCATTATGTCCGGGATGATGCACGTCTTTTTATTTTTACCGTAGCTGTTTTGATATTGGAGTAAATGCTTATTTTCGAAACATCCCCATTTCTTTGAAATGGTTTCGTCCGTTTATGCAACTGTTACTGCGCTAATGACGACCAGTCGCGCTGTCCTGATACACCGCGAATGTGCGAGTGTTCCCTGTAGACAGTCCCGGGAGTCATTTTTTTGCACATTCCAGGAGCCAAACCAAAATACGTTCATGAACCGAGTCCAAAAAACCGAAACGTGAAAATCGGATGATCGGACCTGATGTACATTTCTCTTTCTATAGATTGTACACACAATACACACATCTTTAGATAATCTGGCCATGGCAGGTTAAAAAAAAGTAACCCTGAATCATACTAGATTAGCGTAAATGCATGTTAATGCGTTCAAAACAAGAAAAAAATTGTTTCCGGGTATTAATCTCTTGAATCACGGCGCTGAATATTGACGCAAAAATATTTCGGGCATCGCGCGCCCTTCCCGCGTCACGTGTAGGCATCTCGCATCTCTGATTGGTTGTTGCGTCTTAAGATGACTGAGCCGACGAGCGTTTAAACAATTTTTCTTTGTTCGATTTATTACACTTCACAGAGAATTGTCGCCAATGGCTACTTCTTTTTGTTGCAATATATAATACTTCACGGAGAATTGTCGCCTATGGCTTCTTGTTGGTTATTAGAGGCACCTTTCTAGTCACTCATAAATGAGTAATTGAATCATGGTAAGCTCACCCGTGAGTGTCCTCGTCAGCACAGTTCACCGCCTCCAACATCATTTTCTCGATGTTTTTAAACTCTGTTGTCAGATCCTTGAAATGAAAAATTAAAAGATTCATTAGGATTCTTTATACTCCTACAGTTCTTTAGTTTACCAGATGAAAGAATACAATCGTTATGTATTTTGTGTATCATCATAAAGTTGAAGGTTTGTATGTATCGTAAGCCTGACCTACCTGTAGCCCTCTCGATGCGTCACTGTTCATCGCTATTCCGATCTGCTTCAGTACGTCAGCGAAGAAGACGCAGTAGCGGCGACGGGTGACACCGACGTCGACAAACTGTCCAAGCGACTGTTGCACAATGTCCCTCATCAGGGGGTGGATGTCAAACCGTTGCCGTGAGCTGTCCAACTCCAGCAAGGACCGTTCCCTCAGCGGACGGATCACGTCTGCTTTCGCCTGAGCTGGGCTCTGTTTCCCCGCGATAGCAGCCGCAGCCGACGTGCCGAAAGACCCAGGAATGTAGTTAAGAGCCGCGAAATGACTCTTGATGACGTCTGTGAGCTTCTCGATTGTACTTTTTAAGACATGGCTGACTTGTTCGCTCCTGCTGTAGCTTTCTGCGGAGAGAGGGCTCTCCAAGACGTTTTTCCTGAGAAGTTCTGTGAGTTCCTCCGGAGTGTAGCCGTCTTCGCCTCTTTGGAGCTCAACTCCGGCGATGACCAGGGCCAGCGGTAGGTAGCCGCACATTTTCGCGATCTCTGCTCCGTGAGCCTGCAAAGACACGTCCGGTGCGATCGCAGATAGTAGATTCACTGCTTCGTCGGGCTTCAGCGGACTCAGTTCAACGTCAAAGAATATCCTATATTCCCTCGCCAGTCGGAATCTTCTTCGCGAAGTCACCAAGAACAATACGTTACGAGTCTTCTGGACGATTTCGGTTATGAAGTCTAACAGCTCGGTTCGTAAGCTATCGTCGTCCAGTATCGTGTCGGCGTTGTCACAGATGAAGAGATAGTGGTCGTCACCGAGGTTCAGTCTTTGCAATGCCGCCGTCATGTTTTCTAGCTTCGACGAAACCGTTGTCTCTTTCTGTTGCAACATCGAAGCGAAAATTGTGTTCTTTATCAACTTCGTACTCGTAAACTTTGCAACATTGAACGTATGGTACTCTAACTTTACATTCTGATGTTCACATTCGACTGACATTTGAAAAGCCAACTCCTTGGCAAGACGAGTCTTTCCCACCCCTGGCATCCCGGAGATGAGACCGATCTGGCGGCCATCTTGGAAGTTATTTTTGATGTCGGCAAGGTGCCGGTCCCTTCCACAGAATGGTACATCCCTGTCGTCTGCGTCCGAGTCCTGTCGGTGGCTTTCCTTCTTCTTGAAATACGCCATGTTCCCAACCTACGATGTTTCAACAAAGGACAATAGATGCTTGTCATACTATCATAGTGCGGCCGCTTGTGCAACTTGCATGGTGCATGATTGAATAGCAAAGTTCTTTTCTCACAACCACCTGTTTCACAACAGCTGACGTTTTCATAATACTGGTTATTTATCCCAATTTTTTTAGCACCATATTTTTTTAATATTCTAATACTAGTGAATTACAATTATCCAGAGAAAAAATACTTAGCACGTTTTTCACATTAAAATAGATTACGGTGCTAAATAATTGGGATAAATAATCAGTTCTGTTTTGATGACCGTCTGCCATCTTCATTAGGGGAATTATCACTGAGTCGTACGTGCATTGAAGCTAGGTGTTGAAGCTAGGTGTTACTGGTTCACTGAGTAACAGTATCTGTCTATATCATAAGTACTTTACATCGATATCATCGGACATGTCGCCTCCTGTTAAACAAGTAGTTGAGAACAAAGAGCTTTGCTATTCAGTGTTGAATTATATACATAGAACTGACAAGTTCCCCCTATTCAAGACAGAGAAGAAACAGCGATGTTTTTTATGCACGGCCTCCTACCCATACATGTTGCAAGTCGTCTAATGTCAGAGGCCAAAACGCTCTTTGTTCTGCCTTGTTTTGATCCATCTTGGCTATGCGCCAGGTAAAGCTGAGTAGGGCAGTGGGGTGACATTTCTTCCAAAAGAATGGAGCACGAAAAACTATATCTAAGCATGCTTATATCGTGCTTAAAGGTGGCGTAATGTCCATCTTTAAACACCTTTCCGGCACCTATCCGTGTACGTAAACATTGTCTTTACGTGTCCTTTCCGTAGTGCTGGAAATATACGCTTTTTTCACTTTAGCGGTGCCTGTTGACGGACATTTTGATCACCATTATTCCACTTACCCTATTATGGCGAATAGAGTCAATTATATGAAGACGAGTCGTCTGGATTTTGTGAGGTACATTTGTAAAGTCCATGGTTAAATGTACTCGTCGGAAAAAAATTTAAAACAGGAACTTTTGTAAATACTATGTGGCCACGGGTGTCTCGTTGCAATTTCCTTGTTTATGTGTAAACGCGTTTAGCTGTCTACAGTGCGATACAATGGCTCAGGTTGTGTCTAAAAGCACTTACTAGGAATACCCAAATTTATATAAACCATGGCTACAAGACTACCTTGCTACCTCTGTCTAACATACGGAAACAACATTGATACTAGTACTTATACAAGTGGCTGTGTTTTAGTGTATTGTTATGAATGGAAACAATAAACCAATCTGGACATTCCGAAGATTGTTGACATACACAAACATGAAGACTTACGTACCGAAGGCGTAGACTATGGCGAAGAGAGTGAACAGTCAAACTCGGCAACTTGTCCATCTTCTAGGGACGCCATTTTGGTTTCAGAACCGGCTGTTCTTGCCAAAACGGAAATCATGAATATGATGTTCACCACTTCCTTGTGCTTCTGTGTTTCCTTCAAGACAGTTCTAGTCTTTCGTCGCTTTCCTAGACAGAAAAGAACAACGTTGAAATAGAAGCTTAGATAAGAGAGTCAACTATTTACCAAACAGGGTCAAATGTTGCAGTTGACCTGTGCGAGATAAGCTTAGCTATCACGTAGGTAACGGCTTCTGAGAAATTCGGTTTTTGCCCACGGGGCATATTTCTGGTTCGTGCGTTGTTGCTGGTTTGTAAACACTGTAGAGACCATGCATATGGCAGTTTTATTCTTATACTTTCATAGCCTCCCTTTTCTCTAAAACTACAATGAACTCGGAACCACTGACCTGTATACGTATGTATCCAGCTGGTTTGTCGGGGTGGCCCTTGTAGCTTCGCTCCGCTCACCACAACTAAGATGCAGGCCTCTGTGTAGCTCGACGCCAAAGGTCCTTACAGTACACGTACTGAGACCTATCCATTTGTGTCAGATTTCAGTCACCCTTTGACATTTGTTTGTTTCAAATATGGTCGCGCGCGACTCAAATTTCCACCACGGTTGAAAGCTGCGCAATGCCGTGTTTTTACAACTACAGGTGGAAAGTTAGGGAGAATGAATACTTTACCATTTACTGAAGCCTATAACTCGTACATTGTCAAGGCAACAACCGCTGATTAGACATCTGTTTAATACTTAATACTCTCAATATCTTTGCCCCTGGAAACTGTTAGGAGACCCACCGCTTAAGGTATTGAGTGGCAGGTGGCATCACAACAGACAGAAAACTTTTGACCATTTCGCGTGGCGTATGGAGAATGAATAATACTGCCTGGTCAATTTGATACTGTCTTTTTCCACCCTAGCATCTGCTTGGAGATTAGTAACTTTCACCTCGACACCTTCCAGAGTCTCCCTTCCCTAGCCTCTACCAGGCTCCGCGGATCGCTGGAAAAATGAATTGGCCGAAATAAAGGGATAGTATACCAGAGAAGATCCCACTCTGTGGGTCGCGAATTGGATCTTCTATAGCCCGGGATCCTCTCTGGTATACTATTCGGTCCTTTATTTCGGCCAATTTTTACTATTTTTCCAGCGATCCGTGGTGCCTGGTAGAGGCTACCCCTTCCCATACACCATTGCGATGCTGTCTTTGTAAACATCCAGCATTCAGTATTCAGCGGCCAGCAGGGACAAAAGCGTTGGTTTTGCCGCCGGGTAAATGACGCAGGTACGTTCACTAGTATTGAGAAGCAGTGTAGTATCTCTGTTCTGGACGTCTGACAGACTACCGTCACACTTTTGCGGAACTAAACAGCGGGCTGATTAAACTTTGACGTGCTCAAGTGATCAGACATCATTCGGTGCCAGACCCACGGTGAGTATTTCATTGTGCTACGTGTATCAGTCGAACACACTTCGAGGCGTGTTGCATGTACAATGTATTAGGCACCGCCGAGATTTAGAGGCACTAAGCTTATATATTATTAATCTATACGTCATAGGTACTGTACATTGAACATTGTCAACTGAAAGTCACTATATGGAAGATACACCTATAAAAGTTATGACTGAACTTAAGATCAGTTTACCTATTTACATTGTGTCCGGATTACTGTCGTCAGACAGTAAAAACGAAAGTAGAATTGCAAAATCTCTGCTTGAAATATGAAGCAAAGGACAGGCATCTACAGCGAATGTGCACACCCGACTGCGAAATAGACTAGAACGTTTCGGACCGATGTTTAAGATGAAATAACGGCAAACGTATCAAACCACATGGTACCCGTTCAAAAGACTTTTTTTCAACTAACTGTCACGGATACTTTTGAGGAGACACATCATCAAGGTTTAGCAGGTGACCTTGTAAATTTATGGATTTGTGTCGTAAATGTTTGTTTAAAGTGTCTTTAAAGTGTCATTGTTCAGGGGACATAAATCCTGACACGTCAACGAAAATTCCCCGCCTACACGACGAATGGAAACCCCCTGATTACGACATTGTTAGGGAGGTCAAGTCAAAGTTGAAAGGTAACAACAGCAGACTCGTGATGACGTCACAGAAGTGGGGGCACCTGTCAGTCAACCGGGGCCCCAAAACAAAATGTCGTTTTGGTTGAGGAAACCTGCAAGCGTTATGTCGGCTGCATAATTAGCTCAGTTTGTTTTTGCAAGGACCTTTTACATTTTCTATCAAGGACATTCTATAAAACGTCCTTGCTCCTATGTACTAGTAAGGCCACAGCAAGTAATTTTTATGGATGACATCAGCGCGCGCATTAATTTTCGCCCGATTTTGGAAAAAAAACAAGACATTTTGTTGCCCTCTGACAGTAATCACCATGCCGAAAATGGGCAAAGATGTCTGTTGCCATGTTGCCGGAAGGTGGGTGGCAGATAACTATGAAGAGAGGAGACAAGAAAAGGCTCTGTTTCATACTTTGATGCAGTGATATGTGATGTTGGCTGTGTATATGTGATGTTCCCACTGAATCAAAATCATTGTACAATGATTGAGTCAAAATTTTAAAATGTAGGAACCTTGTTTTTTTTCGCCCGCTCGCATTAGATTTGGAGTCTGCGGAGGATGTCATCCATAGAATTTACTTGCTGCGGCCTAAGTGTGTCTTCAATCACTCCTCATTATCAAGTGCCCTGTACATGTGGAACCTCACACACTGCAACAACCTCTAGGTTCTCCACTAAATGAACAGCAACATGTGAAGGTGACCTTTACAAGACAGCACAGAAAATTCATCAAACGTTAACATATCCGTTCATGATTTTTAGTTTAGTTCTTACACTTGACATAAACATTTTGGGTGGCAGATTAAGCTCTCGTTGTGAATGTCTCTGTTTTCCTTTACCCACTGGCACATGGCCAACTTCCTCAGAAGCCTGCTCTCAGTCAGCTACTTGACTGTTTTCTGATCGTGTGTTAGATAGAACCTAATTCTGAGAGCAAAACACAAGTATTAAAAATTGATCGGTCTTCAAGTGGGTACTCCAAGTCAATTGTCACATATGTCTAGCGGTAGGATCTGGGCTCTTAACTAATCAGGATTCACCACACCAAGCCAGGGTTCAATTCTCGTTCCAACTCTGTTTATTCGTCGCAGGTCACTTTACAAGAAAGTACATCAATAATCATACAACAAGGGAGCACATCAATAATCATACAAGTTTGCAATGGGACAATTTAAAGCAGTAACAGTTTCCAAAAGGGGGGCAATTTACACTACGGGGATACAAGGCTAGGGCAAAGACACTCACCAATATCGCCGGAGGGCGCGGGTTACCGAGGCGGTTAAACAACTAACATAGACTAGACCAAAATTACGCTAAGTGTCGCTGTGTCGCCGCCCACGTGCCACGTGCAGACCTCCGGACCGCGGTGTCCAACCTCGGAATTCTGGCTCCAAACTGACCACGCGGTCCGGGTTTCGTCTTAAGACATGAAACTAATTTACATAGATAAGGCCGAAAGGGTTAATTTGGGTTCTGATTCGCTTGCACGTGGACGGGGCGTAAACCGAGTGACGTAATGTTTTGCCAACTCAGGGAATTCCAGGACAGGGGAAGTTCCATTTGTGACGTCATCTTTTGCCGACGCAGGAATCTTAACTAACGGGGGAGTATCATTTGCTACACAATGGCTGTTAAATTAGATGTAAATTAATTAAATCTGTATGTATACGACCGGCTTGCCCTTTCTGAGTGTTGTTTACTTGTTTTATGTAGCATATAGTTTGTATATAACGTTACCTAGTGGTGAAGAACTCCACTCATAGTCAGCAGTTTTATGCAGCATTCTGCTAGACAGAGATGAACCTATGTGTAGAATTTTTATTGACCCATACCAGCTAAGTAAATCTTATTACTGCTATACATTGTATCTTGTTACAATCGTTATGCAATAAACTTTGACTTGTTGTTGTTGTTGACTCTCTCAAAACAAAATATCTGTTGTTTTACAAGGACCCCAACATGAATACAGACAAAGAGACTGGCGGTGGTGCCGCACGAACCACGGCAAAACTCTCCCTCCGCAACGAACTGTACATAAAAATCAACAACAGCTTCGGTAAAAAAGATGTGAGAAACCTACGGGCGATCCTCGATGATCGGCTTGGCCAGGCCCGACTGGAAGACGCCACACCTCTGGAGATGTGCAGGATGCTAGAAGACGAGGATGAGATCGGCGAGGGTCGTCTAGACTTGCTGATAGAAGTACTGAAAGGTCTGAAGAAGTCAAGATTAGCAAGAGAGGCAGAGGAGGTACAGAGGAAGGAAGGTGAGTTCATATGTAAATTGGGGTCTGTGTACATAAATACATTTAACTAGAGCTCCACGATCTCATACCTTCGCCAAATTATGCTAACCGTTAAGACTGACAAATTAGGGCTACCCACATACCAAATATCAAGACAATCCATCTAAGCCTTCTTGAGTTGTGTCGTGTTGACAGACATTTAATTAGTACGCAAACATATCAAGCATCGCCGCACTTTAAAGCAACCTCTAGAATTCCGCGCTTTCATTGACAATAAAAACACACTCACTATCCTTTGCAGCACAGCACGAAAACAGACATTTAAGCAATCTTTCCGCAATATGTAAAGAAGTATATTAAAGGTGAGAAAATATTTCAGTAGACTTTACGACTTCGTAAAGGCTGCTGAAGGGCAAGTTCCGTCTTTCCGTCACCTTTCAGTGTGCTTGAATACTACGTTAACATATTCTATACCTTTATGCTTCCTTTACATATCCGTAAATATGCAGGTAAAAAGGAAGTTCCGTCGGAGAAAAGGAAGAGGGTTGCCGGAGAAGGTACTGACAGCGCTCCTGTGGGAAAACACTTCAAGCCCTGCTCCGCTGATCAAGGAATCACCTCAGATCGTGGTTTGCATAATTTTCAGATGATTTCAGGTGATAGCTGATTGAACCAATAATTGTGTTGATTTTGTTGTCAATCAGATTGTTCATTTGCCGCTCATGGGTTTAAGAAAATTCTTTTGCTAACAATGTGAATATTTTCCTCGAGAGAACGTATTTGTATCATCAGATATATTTTACATTTCATTACTATACATTAATTACCGAATTGCCGATCATAAGTCTTCATGTACCATGGCTACTGATGTATCACTTGCCGCTGAGTCATCAAATGCACCACTAAATGTTAGCCTGGGTACCATCCTACTTGTATGCCGGGGCTTGTTAGGGAAGCGAGTGTGGGAGCCCCGGCAAACAAGTAGGATGGTACCCAGGCTACTAAATGTTCCTGAAGCATTTTAAATGTATCCTTGAAGAGGTTCATCAGTCACTCGTAATCAAGGCGTACAGTGAACGTCAAAAATTTGGAGGCACGTGTTTGCTATCTTTGAAAACAGTCACTGTTCGATGAATGTTCTACTAACAGTTAGATGTATCTATTTTCAAAACAGGAGTGGAGCCCTTGCCAACAGGACGTGAACGAGCTGCTTCAGGTGACAGCGACGAAATAGAAGATTTCCCGGACGTCCCGTTCCAAGGAAGACAGGAGGAGCTCGACAGGATCAGGAAAAACTTTAAGGACGGTTTCAAGGTGGGCCTGATATCCGGTCTGCCGGGGGTCGGTAAGAGTCGCCTAGCCAATGAAGCTGCACTTCTCATGTCTATGAGGTGTCAAGAGCAAAACGTCCGTTTCAAACGCCACTGCCTTGATGTTAGGAACTTCAAGAGCACAGATCTGTTCATTGACACGGTTTTCGCGTCTCTCTTGCCTGGATTTTGCCCTGGAATGATGTGGACACCGGAGTCGTTGATGGCAGCCGTCAAAAAAGTCAAGAAGGTCGAAGGCTTCCACCTCTTCATCTGTGATAACGCGGACACTATTCTCGAAGACGACGACCTACAGTCCCAGTTATTGAACGTGATCTGTAAGATCGTCCGAGCGTCTTCTAAGGTGTTCTTCCTGGTGACTTCCTGCAGAAAGTTCCGCCTGGCGAAGGAACGCAAAGTCTTCTTCGACATCCACGTTCCCCCTCTGTACCACGATGAAGCAACAGCGTTGCTGACGACGATCGCCCCCGAAGTCCCTCCTGATCTGGCGTCGGAGATTGTGACCTTGTGTGGCCGTCTACCGCTAGCCCTGACTATAGCCGGGAATGAACTGCAAGGTGGAGAGGAGGAGGGCTACACACCACAAGAACTGATCGAGCTTATCAGGCAAGGCGTCTTGGAGAGCCCGCTCAGCGATGACAGCTACAGTAAGAGCGAGCGAGTAGGCCATGTTTTGAGCAGTGCGGTACAGAAGCTGACCGACGTTCTGAAGAAGCACTACGCAGAGTTGAACTTCATCCCAGGCACCTTCAGCACAGCGGCGGCTGCAGCGGTGACGGGGGAGGAGAGCACGGCCGTGGTGAAGGCACACGCACTGCGTCCTCTCAGGCAGCGCTCGCTCCTGGAGTTCGACAACCAAGAAGGCAGGTGGGACATCAATTCTCTCCTGCGGAACATCGTGCCGGCCTGTCTTGGCAACCGCATGGACGTCGGAGTGACCCGCCGAAGATACTGCATCTTCTTTGCGGACGCTCTGAAGGAAATCGGGGAGGGAATGAAAAGGGACGCGCCGCGAAGCCTTCGGGTGAGAGGATACTAGTACCTTGATAATATCTCTGTGTTAGATACTAATAAAACTAAAGCAATGGGCAAAATTCAGGTCTGTCTCCTGACCATTACATTTGATGTAACACACACCAAAGGTGTGGAGGTGGTGTTATATAGCAAATGGTTCTTTGTTGATTGTATCGGTATTGTATTGTGATACTCGCTCATTGATCTATTGATGACTTGTGTAAATCATACAAAATCGTAGCTGAGATAAGGTTAAAGAATATTATCAAGTAGGACTTAACAATGGTCAATATTGACCGAGGCACTACTAATACATGCATATTGTCACGAAGATATTCACTTGACAGTATTCGGTTTAGAAAACTTAAAATGACGGCGCCGTTTAAACATCAAGTTCATTTCTATGTGAAATTAACTTTATAGTATATACTCACAGAACCTGACAAGTGACTTCCAAAACATCGAGAAGATGATGTTAGAGGCCATCAACTGTGCTGACGAGGATTCCTACAGGTAAGAGTATGGGACCCTTCCCTAGGCGGCCTGTTCGATTGGTTGTTGATTCCTACAAGACATTTTTGCATTGATAAATGTTATAAATGTTCAAGTGCATGGATTTTTGTCACTAAATGCTGAGCATCAACAAATAGAGCTACACTGTAATACAGTTGAAAAACTCACGTGTCCACAGCATTTGGGTCAGATAGTTGAGGAAGACTGAGTGATTCAGTCGGAAATTTCTGGTGAGTCTAATTTTGAGTTGGAGAACAGTTTAAGTTTTTCATAATGTAATACAAGTCTTATTTTGATCTGATGATGTTTTTTTCAAATGATGTTTATGTCTCTTTTTCTGAAGGGCGTTCTTCGGTGCGGTTTCCGAAGGTGAAGGGGTGATGAACCAGTACACCCCGAGCACTGCAATCATTCCGTTCTACCAGGCCTGTCTCAACTCCGCCACGGTGCAAGGGACACCAGATGAACAGGCCAAACTGCTCATTGTCCTCGGTCATGTGAGTACGAAGACCGCTTAGAAGTAGATCTTCGGGATTTAGGACAAATCTTACAGTCTGTTATCGAAATCTATTTTAGCTGCTGAGTCTCTTTCGTCATCTCCTGGAAAATATGTTTGGACAAGGCTACGAGTCTTAACAGGCATGCAGGTCTAGAACTGCTATTTTGTAAAAATAAATCCATACATGTGCTTGTATATCAAATTGATTATCTATATGTATGTACTTACGTTTGTGGCATTTACACGTTTCAAAAATGGTCATTTGATTCATTAGGATGATGACATCAAAACGCCACTTATCAGTTTCTGTTTGTGAAAAATACAATTGTCATCATTCAACGTTGAATGAGTGTAATAAAACATTGTTTCCAGTGAAGATATCCTTCTGTCTCTTTCTAGGCTAAGGGTAGCCAGTTGGGACAATACCAGGAGGCTTTTGACAACTACATGCAGGCAAAGGCCCTACTTGAGCCGCTAGGAAGCAGCACCACACTGGCCAGACTGTATACCAACATGGGATACGTTTACCACACCCGTGGAGACTACAAGACAGCTATAAGGTACCATTTAGCATTCTTTAGAAATACAAGTTTGACTCAGAAAAGCTATTACTATAATTATTATGTTTCCAGAATTGTACGACGATGGCTCAATTTCTTCAGCAACACGGTACACGGTCATATCTAACTTATTGCCCCCCCCCCCCCCATTTCAAATGCAATAGGTACCTTAATGATGCCTTGGAGATGTGGGACCGCCTTCGACACGGACCTAGTGTTGGCAAGTCAATGACCCTGGCAAACTTGGGGATGGTCCATGGTTTCGTCGGTGAGTACCACACTTGCGTTCAACAATCCGCCGTAAGATAAAACATTGGTGGTAAGAACGGCATAGATAACGATACGTTTGTTAACAATATACTGAATATTTATTGCATAATGGTAATGCAGTAGTCTTCACCAGACTCTTTTTGCAGGCAAGCTGGAGATTCTATGGCGGCCATCTCCTCTGGCCAATGATATTCCCTTTTTAGGCCAATTTCTACTATCTATCAGCCTGCAAAAGGAGTCTGGTGGAGACTAGTAATGCAGTAACTTACATGTTCTTGCAAACTAGCTTTCATCTGGGCTAACTGTGTAGCAGGAGGTAAATTTGACTTGCCCTATTTCTGGCGTTACTTTTCAGGAAACCTGAAGGAAGCGAGGGAGTATCACACACGATGTTTGGAGATGAGAATCGAACTGTTCGGTGAGAATCATCCGATGATAGGACCGCAACAGAACAACCTGGCCATCATCTACGACAGGATGGGAAATTTAGGGGAAGCTCTGGACCTACACTTAAGCGCCCTTGGTCTAAAACGCCGCTGGTTCAGCAAACCGAACCAGTCTGTTGTTACCTCCCTGAACAACGTTGCGCTTGAGTTCATGTGCCGGAAGGAATACGACAAGGCCCTGCAGTACCTTCTAGAGGCTGAGGAGATGCAGAAGGAAATTCTAGCTGGCGGCCGCTACTCCGTGTACACTAACTTCAACCTCGGAAAGGTTTTAGTGTATAAGGAACAGTACGAAGAGGCAGAGGTGCATCTGAGACTGGCGTCTAAGTGGTACGAAGAGAATTGGGGATCCAACATTATAACGGCGGAGGTGATAGAATTTCTGGGCATGGCGCTACACGGATTGGGCCGTCACGAAGAAGCCAAAGAAACAGTCGCAAAGTCTCTAGCCATGTATGAGAACGAGTCGGCTAACGTCGATGTGGACAAGGACATCCCGAGGTTGAGAGCACTACTGGACAAAGTCAGTCTTTGCGAAGATAAAGACGCTTTGCTGCAGTCCCAAACGGCTAAGATTATCAGTAAGGATGAGGAGCCATCGATGGCAGCAGGCAACAACCAAAATATGAATCCTGGTGAAGTTGGATCAGATACAAAGGAACCCATGACAGACGTTTTTGAAGGTATGCAACATTCAGACGAAGTTTGTGGTCAAATCATCAGAGACCACATATTTATAGCTGTGATATGTTACCCAGGCTCATGTCCCATACAATGAAGTATTGAAGTGTATACACACTCAACGGCCAGCACAGGCATACTTCATACTTAAAAAATTAACATGATTTTTCAATTTCTAGCTGAGTTGACAATGTATATTTTGACTTTTAATGACAAGACAGTCTTAGTAGTTTAGGTCTACTTGTCTCGATTGAAACTTCATTGTCTAATTGTGTTCAGATGCACTGTTGACTGTTCTTGTTTGTTTCTCGAAGATTTGCAGTCTACCTTTACTTTGGTAGCCCATGAGACGGGCTACAGATGGCGAGATCTAGCCAGGAGGTTGGGACTCACAGAAGCTCAGATCCAAGGTGTGGTCAGCAAGCACCAAGGCCGCCTGGTGGAAAGCTGCATGGATGTCCTGGACACCTGGCAGAAGAGACCTGGTCCAAAGGACACCATCCAGCTTCTGAAAAACACCTTATTGGACTGTGGTCTTAAGGCGATTGCAGAAACAATGGGTACGATTGGTTTCATTTATTTCATGTTGTGCACACATTATACCGGTGCAATGGCCAAGTGGGTAGAGTGCTCGCCTTGCATTCGGTAGGTCGTGAGTTCGATCCCCGGCCGAGTCATACCAAAGACTTTAAAAATGGTACATACTGCTTTCTCTGCTTAGCACTCAGCATTTGGGAAAGAGTTAAACACACACCACTACCAGTGGACTTAGCCCCCTGCTAGTGAAAATGGAGATGGGCGCCGCCCTATGCGTCACTTGATGCGGGAAGGCTCTTTAACTTTAACGTGAATGCATAATGAAGTGAAGTTGTTTTAGTTTATTGCAAACTTAACACATTGAATCTGGTATATTTTTGAAAGGAAATCTTTAAGTTAATACCCATGAAAGGAAGGCTACAATCATTAAGATTCCCAGTAAAAAGATGTCAAAGTAAACCCTGAGCATGTTAAACTTCTGTAGTATATTATGAATGGTCATTTTTCAAAGTTCAACATATTTATGAAATTTAAATCCTCTTTTATCACAGTTGCAACTGAGGAGCGGAAAGTCGAGATCATTAAATACAAAAAGAAGCTATCAGGTAATTTCTAAGTTTTAGGGAACAGTCACGTTTATGCTCAATTACTAGATTTCCAATTGTCGTGTCACTTTGTGACTCAAGTGATAAATTTTCATAAAGTTTTAAACTTGAATTGGGTTGAATAATATTAAGTAAAATACAGGCAGTGATCCATATGACATTCACATGACAAAATCATTGTCCCAATTTCTCTAAACTTACAGACCAAGAAAAAACTATTCTTCTTTTAACTTCCCAAAACCCACAAATTTTGGAAAAGGTGGGACATTACGTCTTCCATGGTTTACAGAAGAGAAGTCAAACCCTTCAGACATATAGTTTTAGACATAGTTATAGTTCTAGACAGCTACCTTTATCATGTAGACTTAAGTTATTCTATACTCTATTTCATTGTTCTTTTATGTTTTGTAATTTGCAATTAGCCTCCGGGCACGAATTTGCAATAAACTTTTCATTGTCACTGATTTTGTCTATAGGTGCCTTCTACACCATTGCTGAGGACACAGGTCCTGACAAGTGGAAAGACCTTGCCAGGAAACTTGGTCTGAAACCTGCTCAGATTGACGGCATCGAGACCAGACATCCCCGTGAGGTTAAGGAGTGCTGCATGGATGTGCTGGAAACATGGCGGCTGAGGGAGGGGGGCGCTGCTACAGTTCAGGCTCTACAACAGGCTCTGAGGGAGGCAGACCTCACCGCTTTGGCAGATGATATAGATATGTCTCCTGCCCAATGAGATAATGCTACTAGGTCAATTTTGTCATGTTGGTGTGCCTCATGGTATTCATATTTCACATATTTGACGTGTACAAGTATTGCTATGTATAAAATGGCATGCACTCCTTTCAAGTAATGTATAGTTTATATTTTTACCAGAGAGTTGTAACTATTACATGTATCTGATACTATTTGTTTCCACTGTAAAACCAATAAAACCATTACAGAACAAATCAAACTTATGTCTGCTTCTCACTCAATTGTTTTCATCAAGAATGCATAGAAGTACCACTACTCATCTAAAGTGATTTGCCAGCATTAAATGTTATTTGTGTGGATCCTGAGCCAGTCTCTCAGCCAACAGTTTGTTTTTCTCCCTCTCCACCTCCATCTTCCACTGCCTCCAAAATGTCCACATCAGTCTCCCATGATCCTCTGGTCTCAGCCCACAGTAGTCGTCATACTTGAAGATTTCGCGCAGGGCGGCCGGAACCTGTAGATTCCGTGCGTGAATGTTGGTATTTGCCTCTCCCAACATCTCTTGTTCTAAGTGCTTGCGATGCCAGCTGCTTTTCATGGGGTTCCATGCATTACACTTCATGTCTTGCCTCTCTTGTAGCTGCTGCTTTAGCTTGGACAGGTATTCCTCTTTAATATGAATCTCTCGTTCCTTCTGTTTGTATGCTAGTGAGTCTTTCAAAGTGAACGCAGAGTTTGCAAGCAGTTCTTGTTGTTTTCTGTAGTCTTGCTTCAACGATTGATTCTCCTCTTCCAGCTTCGAGATATAGTGTTGATCCTTCTCCTTGACTTCGCGATGGCTTGCAAGCTTTTCAGTCAGTTGGGAATTTTCTTCTTGCATCTTTGCCAGTTTGTCAAGAATGATGCTGCCTTTTTGGTCAAGTTGGTAAATCTCTTTTTGCTTCTCCGTGTAGTCCGTCTTCACTTTCTGATTCTCCTCTTCAAGTTTTAAGATGTAATGATGATCCCTATCCTTAACATCACGATGGCTTGCCAGCTTTTCATTCAGTTTGGAGTTCTCCTCTTGCATCTTTGCCAGTTTCCCAAGAATGTTGCTGCCTTTATGCTCAAGTTGGTGTATTTGCGCCTGTTGCTTCTTGTAAACTTCCTGCAGTGTTTGATTCTCTTGTTCAAGCTTTGAGATGTACTGTTGATCCCTTACCTTAAATTCAAGGTGACTTGCAAGCTGTTGTTGCAGCTTAGAGTTCTCCTCTTGCATCTTTGTCAGATTAGCCTGAATGATGCTACTTTCTTGCTCAAGATGATGTATTTGCTTCTGCAGTTCCTTGTGGTCTTTCTTCACCTTTTGCCTTTCTTCTTCAAGCTTTGAGATATAATGATGATCTCTTTTCTGCACTTTTTGGTAAATCACCAACCTTTCCGCCAGCTTTGAGTTTTCCTCTTGTACCTTTGCCAGGTTGTCTCGAATGGTGTTGCCTTTATGCTGAAGTAGGTGTATTTGCTCCTGCTGTTTCTTGTAAACCTCCTGTAGGGCTTGCTTTTCGTCTTCGAGCTTTGAGATGTAGTGTTGATCCTTTGCCGTCACTTTGTAATGGCCTGCCAGCTTTTCTTGTAGCATGGCGTTTTCTTGTTTCATTCTCTTCTGGTTGTCACGAAAGACGTCAATTTCGTGTTGATGTTCTTTTTCCATCTTTTCTTTCTCCTTTTCTCCTTTTGTATGGAAAACCCAGGCTGTAAAGAAAAACTGCATTTAAGTCCATCAGTCAAGTTATCTGTACCTTTGTGCAGTTATTGCCTAACTGCACTGTCTTTTAAAGAAATTTTGGAAAGTTGAGACATGAGGTTGTTGCCTATTCTTTCCAAAAGCTTTCTGCGTGTCCAGAACACGAGACACAAAAACCAGGCCTCTTCTGCAGTTCCAAAGAAAGCAGCTAGGAGGCCCATAATCCTCTTCTGCAGTTCCACAGAAAGCAGCTAGGAGGCCCATAATCAAACTAATGTCCTTGGTTTTAATGACATTCACTCCCATCCATGACTTTTCAGTTATGGTAACCACAAACCAAGGACGCTTAGTTATATCAAGGAGCTTCAACTGACATAACGTCCTTAGTCATATATAACGGAAGGCAGAGGTCCAAAGTCTGGTATAGTTTTAAATATTCAACGTTATCATTATGTAATGCATGGGTGAGTGCACATAATCACCATGAATAATTAGGAAATAAAACATAAATGATATTTTTTTCGAAAATACTAGTAATTATTTACTTCAGCTTTATTTAATTATGACAAACATAAAGTAGGCCTTGATAATGCAGACTCCAGTTTCTCATGTTGTACTCTGTCCCTGAATCACAACAACAACATACCAAGGACAACTGCTGGCACCACGGCCATGACGAAGCCCAGCAAGCCCCAACCGCCGTTTGGCTCGCCTGGGATGTTCTCCGCCGCTCCGGGACGGTTCAAATCGTTCTCCCGCATACGTGCCATCTTCGCAAGGCCACTTCCACCACTGGCACCCCAGTAAAAAGGGGGCGTAAGACCGACAGCTGACAAAAGTAAACAAAAGGGCAGACTGTACCACTCTTGCAAACGGGTGAAGTAAAGTTCAAGGTTTAAATTATTTCAGAAAGAGAAGGAACAAAAACGTCAAATTTCAGTCTGAACGGCTGAAGAAGATATTGAACTCAAAGCTAATTGCAACGTTGAAGATCAAGGATTATGTCAAAGGCATACAGCTATGCAATGTATTAGCTCTTCCTCCCTCTTATATGTTTGCGATTCCTCCTCTTTGACCTTTTACCCCTAAACATGGCGTCAAAGTGAAAACTGTTACGCGCCGAAATGATGCATTTGAATGGTATATATAAAATGACATAGTTCAGTCACGGTGCACCAAAACAGGCCATGAAATGTATCCGCGTATTCCCAACAAGTCAGACCATCACACAGTGGACAGTTGATCATATCAAAAAAGGTCTGAAGATGAGATTTGGGGCGTCAAAGTTGACCGTCAAATGCATCAATTTGGCGAGGTTTCCGTGTTGTTTCACGCTCTGCATGGGGGTTTGGAGAAGACCGATTGTCACATCCACTTCCGGGTCATCTCAGATGTGCACACAAATTACATTCGTTGTAACACACATCGACCGCTAGTTATCACTAATAAAGTAATACACAGGAATAAGTACAGCGTTACTGGAATGTTGCCTATTTTTGTCTGGAAAAAAGTTGTCGCTCGGTGTTAGTCTGTAACAGTGTAACGCTAACGCAAACTTGTCTGAAAAAAAAGTTGTCGCTCGGTGTTAGTCTGTAACAGTGTAACGCTAACGCAAACTTGTCTGAAAAAAAAGTTGTCGCTCGGTGTTAGTCTGTAACAGTGTAACGCTAACGCAAACTTGTCTGAAAAAAAAGTTGTCGCTCGGTGTTAGTCTGTAACAGTGTAACGCTAACGCAAACTTGTCTGAAAAAAAAGTTGTCGCTCGGTGTTAGTCTGTAACAGTGTAACGCTAACGCAAACTTGTCTGAAAAAAAAGTTGTCGCTCGGTGTTAGTCTGTAACAGTGTAACGCTAACGCAAACTTGTCTTAAAAAAAAGTTGTCGCTCGGTGTTAGTCTGTAACAGTGTAACGCTAACGCAAACTTGTCTAAAAAAAAAAGTTGTCGCTCGGTGTTAGTCTGTAACAGTGTAACGCAAACTCGCGGCTTTACCGGGACGTCCTGACTACTTGTTCAGGGTCATGTATCATTCCAGTGACACGTTAAAAATCTGCCGTCTTTACTTGTACAGTCTTGTCAAGCAAATGTTTACATGTATGTAGACTTTCTGGCATTGTTCCATCTAAAAATATGTAGTCCAAAGTTGCATTTACCCCTTAACTGCAATTGTCGTGAGCGAAAACGAACTATCCTTTACACACGTACGTTTAGAAATTAATAACCAAACATGTAGGTTTATCGTCTTAGCTATATGTTATACAAATAAACGACGAGTAAAGACGGCAGATTTTTCACGTGTCACTGGAATGATATATAGCCCTGAACAAGAGAATTTCCACCTGTGTCGTAGAAATGACATACTAGTAGCCTGAACATGGCAGATATGTCACCTGACTCATTGGAATGATATAGCCCTCAACAGCAGAATATCCACCTGTGTCATTGAAATGACATAGCCTTAATATGGCACATATGTCACCTGAGTCATTGGAATGATGTAGCCCTGAACAGTAGAATTATTACCTGTCATTGGAATAGCATAGCCTTAAGACGGCAAATATTTCACTTGTGTCATCGGAATGACATAGCCCTGAACAGCAGAATTTCCACCTGTGTCATTGAAATGACATAGCTTTAAGGCGGCTGATATTTCCACCCGTTTCATCGGAATGACATAGCCTTTTTTTCGGCAGAAGTTTCACCTGTGTCATTGAATGACACAGCCTTTTTATCGACAGAAAATTCATCCGTGACATTGGAATCACACAGCCTTTAGTTTAGTCATGAGAAATGACACGGCCTTATGTCGACGGATGTTTCACCTTTTTTCGGCAGGTGTTTTACCTGTGTCAATGGAAGTGTTTTTGGAATTACACAGCCTTTATAAAGTCGACGGATGTTTCACCTGTGTTATTGGAATCACAAAGCCTTTAGTCATGAGAAATCTCACCTGTGTCATTGGAATGACACAGTATTCAGTCGACAGATGTTTCACCTGTGTTATTGGATTTACACTTTAGTCATTAGAAATTTCACCTGTGTCATTGGAATGACACATCCTGCAGTCGACAGAAGTTTCACCCGTGTTATTTGAATCACAATATAGCCTTTAGTCATGAGAAATATCACCTGTGTCATTGGAATGACACAGCGTTCAGTCGACAGGTGTTTCACCTGTGTCATTGGAATCACATCGACTTCAGTCGACAGATGTTTCACCTTTTTTTTCGGCAGACGTTTCACCTGTGTCATTGGAATGATAAAGCCTTCAGTCGACAGATGTTTCACCTGTGTTATTGGAATCACACGGCCTTTAGTCATGAGAAATTTCATCTGTGTCATTGGAATGACACAGACTTTAGTCATGAGAAATTTCACCTGTGTCATTGGAATGACACAGCCTTAAGTCGACAGATGTTTCACCTGTGTTATTGGAAACACACAGCCTTTAGTCATGAGAAATCTCACCTGTGTCATTGGAATGACACAGCCTTATGTCGACAGATGTTTCACCGGTGTTATTGGAATTACAGAGCCTTTAGTCATGAGAAATTTCACCTGCGTCATTGGAATGACACAGCCGTTATTTTCGGCAGAAGTTTCATCCGTGACATTCGAATGACACAGCCTTTTTTTCGGCAGATGTTTTATCTGTGTCATTGGAATGACACAGCCTTCAGTCGACAGAAGTTTCACCCGTGTTATTGGAATTTACACTTTAGTCATGAGAAATATCACCTGTGTCATTGGAATGACACAGCCTTCAGTCGACAGATGTTTCACCTGTGTTATTGGGATCACACGGCCTTTAGTCATGAGAAATTTCATCTGTGTCATTGGAATGACACAGACTTTAGTCATGAGAAATTTCACATGTGTCATTGGAATGACACAGCCTTAAGTCGACAGATGTTTCACCTGTGCTATTGGAAACACACAGCCTTTAGTCATGAGAAATCTCACCTGTGTCATTGGAATGAGACAGCCTTATGTCGACAGATGTTTCACCGGTGTTATTGAAATTACAGAACCTTTAGTCATGAGAAATTTCACCTGTGACATTCGAATGACACAGCCTTTTTTCGGCAGATGTTTTATCTGTGTCATTGGAATGACACAGCCGTTATTTTCGGCAGAAGTTTCATCCGTGACATTGGAATGACACAGCCTTTTTTCGGCAGATGTTTTATCTGTGTCATTGGAATGACACAGCCTTCAGTCGACAGAAGTTTCACCCGTGTTATTGGAATCACAATATAGCCTTTAGTCATGAGAAATATCACCTGTGTCATTGGAATGACACAGCCTTCAGTCGACCGTGATGTTTCACATCTGTCATTGGAATCACATCGACTTCAGTCGACAGATGTTTCACCTTTTTTTTCGGCAGACGTTTCACCCGTATCATTGGAATGATACAGCCTTCAGTCGACAGAAGTTTCACCTGTGTTATTAGAATGACACAGCCTTCAGTCGACAGACATTTCACCCGTGTTATTGGAATCACAATATAGCCGAAAATTCCAATGACACATCCGTAATTTTCGGCAGAAGTTTCATCAGTGACATTGGAATGACACAGCCTTTTTTCGGCAAATGTTTTACCTGTGTCATTGGAATCACACAGCCTTTAGTCATGAGAAATTTCACCTGTGTGTCATGGAAGGACACAGCCCTCAGTCAACAGATGTTTCACCTGCGTCATTGGAATGACACAGCCTTCAGTCGACCGTGATGTTTCACCTGTGTCATTGGAATCACATCGACTTCAGTCGACAGATGTTTCACCTTTTTTTTCGGCAGACGTTTCACCCGTATCATTGGAATGATACAGCCCTCAGTCAACAGATGTTTCACCTGTGTCATTGGAATCACATAGCCTTCAGTCGACAGATGTTTCACCTTTTTTTGGCAGATGTCGACATAAGTTTCACCTGTGTCATTTGAATGACACATCATTTTTCGTCAGAAGTTTCCCCTGTGCCATGGAAATAACACGATCTTTTTTCGGCAGAGGTTTCACCTGTGTTATCGGAATGACACAGCCTTAAGTCGACAGAAGTTTTATCTGTGTCGTTTGAATGTCGTAGTGATCCTTATCTGTCAATATTATATACATTATAGCTCATGTTGCGCAGGCTATTTCCAAAGGTATGTGCGTAACCTGCATGGTTATGCAGGTTACGCACATATACACTATATAGGTCGAACTTATAGACTATATAGGTCGAACTCCTCCCGTTAGTGTTAGACTTACGGTTGGGGGTTAGGGTTAGTTTAGTTTTAGTGGCCAAGGAGGTTACATGAATGAACTCTATTACACTAACAATTGTACATGGTACAATGTATGGCAGCGTGAACAATACAATACAAACAAGTCTATGTATACTAAGAGACTACTTAACTACAGGAATATGAACGTAAACGGCGTATGACATGATGTGCGTTAGGCGTTGGTATCTGTTATAATACTTTCTCTCTATTATGCACTACATATCAGTACATATATATTGGCCTTAAAGTACGTAGATATAGAGTCGGGGCATGACATAAGTAGATTGAAAATGTCTATGTTTGTCTTTGGGAGAGGTTTACCAGCTTTACTTGTGATCAATTTCATTAATTTTTGTCTATCTAAAGTATATGCAGGACAGGTCATTATGAAATGCAATTCGTTTTCAACGCCTTTATGACACGAGGGACACAGTCTCTAATTCGGGCTGGTGTGTTACAGTGGCGACCTTTTCCATTGTAAAGAGTGGGCACTAATCCTAAGTTTTGTTATGCTGTTTCTGAATTATTTGTTTTAAATTGATAAAAGATAGTTCAAACAGAATTGGGTTTTAATTTTGCAGTAGGTATCGAGTTTGGTAAGACTTTTAATTTCTTGTCTCCAGCAAGAGAGAAACGTGTTTTGTAGACGATCTTTTAATTAAGATATGTCCAAACTGGTTGGTATTAACGGAAGGATTTAACCATATATTTTGAAATCCGTGCCTACAAATCATGTCCTGAACATGGACAGCCCAGTCTTGTTGTAGTTCAACGGAACAGGTTATATAAGCTTTCATAACGATCCTGTCGTTCGGTAAACTACTTCGGTAGGCGAAGCCAATATTTTATTAACTTAATGTGTTTGTGAATCGAGGTATAATGGGAATACTCCAAGTTCACCCCTGACGGTGGCGTTAACGGAGCTTCTGGGCACGCCAAGTGCTATTTCACAATTTAAAAGTACGAACTCCAGATCGGGGATTTCATCCTGGATATTGTTGGTTGTTTGATTGTTATGTTCATGCAAGGACGTTACACACAACGTCCTTGGTCCATGTCTTTTGATATGCGATATAAGATATTTAGTTTGTCACTGTATTTTTTTAATCGTACCACCCCATGTCTCAGGTATATAGGAAACTCCCAAGTAGTATCAGAGTCATGTATTTGACAGGATCATGTATTTGGTTTCACCCCGGTACACGTACGCGATACGTAAGGTTAGAGGTGTGACCCGGAAACAAATGGGAAACCGGGCGCCACGAAACCCCCATGCGGTTGGTATAATTGGCCAAAAAACATGGCGGAAACCTCGGAAAATCTGAGAAAGGCCTAACTTTGACGTTCTGAACGTTGTTTCTTGTTTAAGGCACAGTCAATTCGTGAACGCCTGGCGGTGGTCTGACTTGTTGGGAATACGGGGATACATTTCATGGCCTGTTTTGGTGCACCGTGACTGAACTATGTCATTTTATATATACCATTCAAATGCATCATTTCGGCGCGTAACAAAACGAAGAAACGGACTCAGAAACGATAAAAATGATGAAATCGGCTCATATTTAGACCTTTCCCGAGCCTTGCAAAGATGACCCGTATGCGGGAGAACGATCTGAACCGTCCTGGGGCGGCGGGGAACATCCCAGGCGAGCCAGACGGCTGGAGCTGGCTGCTGGGCTTCGTCATACCGGCCGTGGTGCCTCCACTTGTCGGTACGTACGATATAGGTCAAAGTCTTGAAGCTTGAAGCAAGGGTGGTGGATTTTGCAACTCTGGCAAGAATGAGGGATGATCTGGGAGACAACATGAAGTTCAGAATGATGTAACGTTACTAAAATTATAGCATTTCAAAACTACCTGCTCTCCTTGGGGCTCTAAATTCGCATGAAAACGTAGTGGCGAAACTTAAGTTCAAGCTTATAGTTTTGTAGGGGCTTGTAAATGACTAACTCTAAATCTCCTTCTACAGCTTGGATTGTCTACAGAACTGATGAAAAGGAGAAGGAAAAGTTGGAGAAAGAACACCAACATGAAACCTTACGAGCAAAGATACAGATGGACCATCTAGAGCAAGAGAGTGGCACCGTACGGGACAAGCTGAAAAACATGCAAGAGGAAAACTCCAAGCTGCGCGAAAAGCTGGCAAGCCACCACGTGGTGAAGGAGAGAGATCAACACTACATCTCAAAACTGGAAGAAGAGAATCAAACACTGAAGCAAGACTACAAGAGACAGCAGGAGCAAATATACCAGCTTGCAAGAAGGCTGAGCGACGTGTACGTAGATACAAGTGTTTCCAAGGAGCCAGAAAGTCCCAAGATGGCCACAGGACCCTTTGGTTTCACTTTGAAGGAGTCACTAGCGTACAAACAGAAGGAACGAGAGATCCGTGCAAAGGAGGAGTACCTTACCAAGCTGGAGAATCAGCTACGACAGAGGCAGAACATGAAGTGTAGTTACTGGAACCCCATGAAAAGCAGCTGGCATCGCGAGCACTTAGAGCGAGAGATGTTGGGAGAGGCGGACACCAACGTTCACGCTCGAAGTCTTCGTGTTCCGGTTGCCCTGCGCGAAATCTTCAAGTACGACGACTACTGTGCGCCGAGACCAGAGGATCATGGGAGACTGATGTGGACATTTTGGAGGCAGTGGAAGATGGAGGTGGAGAGGGAGAAAAACAAACTGTTGGCTGAGAGATTGGCTCAGGATCCACGCAAAAATTAACCAAAACAGACGCTGGATTTAGCAAACATCCAGAATAGTCTTACAGGCACACATTCTTTAGGCAAAATCAGTCTTAAACAATTTTTGAAACATTGTTCAATTGTAATGTCAAAGGGACATTGTGTAGGTTCATAAATGAAATCTTAATTCCATGCACCTGTTGCATAGTTTCACCCATGCATCAATTTTTGTATAATTATAGCAAAGACAATAGAGAGGTTTGTTCAAGGTGTAGGGAAAGAACACTTCTGTGATAAAATTCCGTGATACAATTTTCCCTTATATTAAATTAACGTTTTTGTGTATTCCTAGGGTCTTTTCCTGCAAACACCCAAATAGTACATGTAAGGACGGTAGAAGTAAAAGTTGCAGTTGAACTGATGACTTTTCAGTAATTGTCTCAAAGAAAAAATATGCATTATGAAAGGGAAATCTCTGCATGAAAAGAAAAGACCACACTATCAATGACTGCTGCTAGGGAGGGCTACATGTAGGTGCAAAAATGTGTATGGTATATTGTGTATAGAAGTCCGTGTGAATTATTACATTGTCACATGTTGTAAGACTTGGGGTGAAAATTAAAATTCTTGGCAAACAAGAGATTTTTGTGTACTTTTGCATGACATTGTGTCTTTGATTCTTTGCCATACATCAGTTACAATCATTGAGCAACATTGCTAGTCTATGGTACCAACGTATAGCTTACAAACGTTGTACCACAGTATGTAAAAATGACTCAAACACATTTCATGTACTATTTTCTTCTCAGGTCACAACAATTCGGATTCGCCTCTGCATCTTTTTTCTGATATGCAAAAAAAAAAGATTAAGGTTCTAAATCAACTCAAAAATGCTCATATTTTGCACTCATCTTGCTAGCTGCTACAGGTTTTCCATCTATCAATGTGGTGGTTTGATTAAAAGTTCAAAATTCATTATTTAGATAATAACTCAGCCTTTTGTGTTGACTTCATGGCTCCAATCGTAGCATTTGGAGCTAGGATAGAATGCCTCGACCTGTTTTTATTTTTTTGCCCTGTCACTTCTTATATTTTATGAAAAAAATCTAAGAATCAATAAATTAAATTGGTGTGGCCTCAACTATTTCTTCACTGCCTCAAATTTCACTGGACCACTCCTTCACACTATACTTACTTCTTATTGGTTAACCTTTGACCTGGGAAACAAGTGGTTGGACAGGTGGTGTAATTAATTTAACCAGAACTACTAGCTGCACAAAGATGACAGGTATGGAAGAGGACAACTTGAACGCACAGCACACAGTAGACAAGATCTCTGCTGAGATGTATAACTGGGGTGGACTGCTGGTTTTCCTCATGCCAGCCCTGATTGTATTCTTTCTTTTTGGTAGGTACATGTATGTACACGTGTTTTAACCAGTAGTACCAGGAGGGTAGTTTAAATAGTAATATAGAATGCTAAGATAAATGTGTAAATGACATGACAATTCAGAAAACTCTGATTCTACATGCACTACAAAGAACTAAATAGACCACTATTATGATTATCATTATGTACATAATGTACCTTTGCTGCATCAGGCTTTCTCAATCAGTTATGATTATGTATAGGAACTTCATGTCTGCTAGACTAATTTTCGCTGTTTTTGTTGAATATCAATGGACTTCTCATTCAGTGTTTATTGGGAGCATATGGTATGAAAAAAAAGGCATGATCACTGGTAGTAGTAGTACTTAAGAAAACTGTTTATCAAGCAAATGGATAGATTTTAAATACAGTACAGTGAGTTGATGTTACGTTTTCAAAATCAATCCAGTTGCTTGAGTAACAGTTTTCTTGTGTATCTCATTTTCTTGGTTGTATAACCTTCGTCAACAATCACCACAGTAACAACTCTTTTGCACAGATACATTATTTAAGTAAAAATAAAATTTGTACTTTGTATGTGAGCATACAGCACGTTGTATAATAAGAGTTTTTTCACATAGTTGCATTTTGAACTGTTCATGTATGTTTGCCTTTCATGATGAATAATCTAATAAATAATTTTCCTTTGTTGGCCTATGAGGTTCCCACGCCTGGTGGCATTAGTGTATAATGTGAGAAGGCAGCTATTGTGATTGTGAGAACACATGTAACTTGTACCCCAACCTTGTTGCAATTTTATTTACTTCATTCCACTTCATACAATACCCAGATTATGCTTCAATGACTTTGTTGACCTCTGACCTCTTCTGCTTGTTTTAACTTATTTTATGTCTACCAACTGTGAAGTTTTTTGCTGTTTTTAGTTCATTTAATTGTATTGTAGCCAACTCCAGGAAGGATAGGGTGAAATATTGTACCAATATGTAACAATAATGCAGGTATTAGAAAAACAATCCTGGCTGTGAATTATAACGATGATGCATCTTCCCTCTCCACAGCATCCTTCATTCACGAGACATCGAAAAATGAGAGGAAAAAGGCAAAGCAGAAGCATGAAGATGATTCAGAAGCCTTAAGGGCCAAGGCTGATTGCCATGAACAATGCTGCAACATCAGTTGTGAAGATTTAGAAACAATGAATCCAGAAGACTTTGAGTTGGGAGAAAAGCCGACAAGTCTCCCTAAAATTGAGAAAGATCTCGAGTATATCACATATCATGAAGAAGCAAATCACACACTGAAGGAAGACTACCAGCAGCTGAAACATAAAGGTCAACACACTTCCTGGTAAACTAGCAGGAATGCAACTGGAAAAGTTCAAGCTGGTTAGCAGGGGAAGTCAGAACAAACTGCAGCAGAGAAGTTATAGTTACGTGTCTCAGCTGAAAGACGAGATTCAAACACTGAGGGAAGACGAGACAACTGAGACGAGAGCGGAGCATGGTTTTTGAGCTGGCAAGTCCGGAACAACAAGAAAACTTTGAGCTCAAAGACAAATTGGCTAGTACTCTTATGTACTACAAAGAGTACAGTAAAGTACTACATTTCCAAAGCTCCAATTCATAATGTACAGAAGTGAGTTTTCTCCTTGCATGTTGGACTACTGTCGGTTTAGTTACATTTGTACTTGTTTACTGTGAATGGATCTGTGCCTTCAAAGGAAAAAATGTACAAAATTGTTTCTTGTCACGAGAAGATTTCTTTATTTCCTGTTTATGCAACAGAAAATAAGCTGAAAATGTTTGGAATAATCATGATCTAATAGATATGAAGAATAGATCAGTATACATGTATGTGCTTGCCTTTAAATTTGTGGGACTCCTTTAGTAGAGGCAAAACCATGATATGTAATTAACATGTTTCCCTGCCTTACAGCTATACTATGTACCATATAAAGCATTCATCTTACATGTATTTTTATATAGCTATAGGTGAAGTTACTGTTTTTACAAAGCCTTCCTCTCTGGCAAGTTTAGTAGTTACAATCATCCATACCAAGCCTTTTAGGCTGTATCTTTTAGTCTTTTTACACTCTCTTGTTTAGGCTATTCAATCTAAATGGTGGAAAGGAGGATACATATCTTTCAAAAACAAAAGTTAGGGTTATGAGAGCATTTTGATACATAAAGCATCCACAACACTGCAATAGAATGAGAGTACATGTGGATGTCTTGTAAAACAAATAAACTGGACTCAAGGCCTTCAGTGCAAAACTAGACTAGTGGTGTCAACACTATCCGTCTATACTAGACTTGTGTTGCTAGCTGCCCAGTTCTAGCTCTTCAAGTTCCTTTAGTAAGGCAGCTTCTCCCTTTATCTTCTCAAGCTGAAACATACGTGGGAGACATGTTAGAGTATAAGCATCATACCCATTGACTATAGAAGCTCAGCACCTTTTCTAACTGCTTTGAAATTCTTATTATGAAGCCAACAAATGACCCTAAAGGTAAGAGAATTTTACTTAAGTCTAAAGCTGTGTTTTAGATTATAAAATTTTAATCCTGATGATAGTAAAGAAAAAATGTTATAAGAAAACATTTACCTGGTTTGATTCCAGCTTCTTCCCAGACTTTTGTTGCTCCTTAAGTTGCTCTATTTGTCTCAGTTTCTGTCCAGAAAAAAATCAGCAAAAGCAGGATAAATACAGTATTACTAACAGTCACAAGAATGTAGACCCCAGGCTTAATTTCAACCCACAACCAGTGTATGCTGCCCTAGCTCCCCAGACTCCACGGGCTTCAGTGTGCAATACTACTAGTATACTCCTACATTACTTATGACCAGTGTAAGCTGGTATAGTATGGCGCACTGAAGCACAGGGTAAGTGTATGCATTCAACATCTTTTTATGACTCTAACCTCATCCCATCATTTGAGTATTCCATGAATAAACAAAGAAACAAACAAACCTTCTTGAGTCCTTTGATTTTCTTCTCTGAGTCAGCACTAACCACTGTACTGGTGACAGAAGGGGGCGGGGTACCCAGGATGTGTGTGGCCATGGCGAGAGCATCCCTCTGCTCCTGGCTACGAGCATCCTGATAAACAACCAAGCAAAAAATATCTAGTCTCTGACATGAAAACAAATAACGTAATGCCAGATGTCCCATGTTTTAGGAGAGCCACACCTGAAGCACATTAAACATTCCACCACACACTTAAAAAAGAGAAGAGGTCCACCCTGGTGTGAGTGGTTCAAACCGTACAGTCCAGTCTAGCTTTCACAGATTGCGTACTGTACTGTACTGTACTGTACTGTACTATACTATACTGTACTGTACTGTACTGTCTCCATACCATTGGTGCTTGTTGCTGCTGTTGTTGTTTTGCTTTCTTTGCTTCTCTCTTCTTCTTGTTCTTCAGAGCTGCCTTGGAAAGGTTTTCTGTAACAAAGAGACAAGTACAAGATCAGTTGAAGCTTTTACATCAGTAACTTGCATACAAGAATGTAGTAAGTTTTTAACTATATGCTGGTTATAAAACATGTAGGGGAAATCTGTTACCATCTTTGTTCTCCATTCGTTCGTTCTGTGGCAGCTCCTCTTCATGCTACAGAGAACAATAAAATCTTTAAATTCAGGAACACATTACAGGGAAGATATAGAGTGAAACGAATACAGTCTAGCTTCAACTAAAAGTTCTAACCCCTGCCAGGTCCCAGGCACTTTACAAGTGTGCAGAAATGTAAGGATGAAGTTAAGAGTGTGCAGATACTTACCAGTTTGGTTGGTGAGGTGTGACCGAGGGCTCGTGCACCAGGGGGGCGATACACTGCTGGTTTGGCTACAGGAAGAAAAGCGTTGTCAGCAATGTCAATGCCATTCATTGTTCATGACTGTACATGTATCATGTATCTGTGTGTAAAAGTAGCAATGTGTAGTTTTGCACACCTATGAATGCTTTAACGGGAACAGAGTTACATAAAACTATGAAAATGAGAGATTTCAGACTTCCGGGAAGTATTTGGGGTTTTCATAACCTAAGATCACAGATAGACCTCTGAGAAGTGTTTTTGCATGCTGTTAATAGAGGAAGATTTTAGCAATTAAAATTTATGACGTTAGAAGGGTCTACTATGAATAAAAGTACAATTGCAGTCATTTGCAGATGTACAGTACATTTTCAAAACTTTAGAAAATCGAGTACATTTTTTTAAAACTTGATCTCGAAGTTCTCACCTTCTTGTTGCTGAGCCGCTGCCTTGGCCGGTTGGTAGGACAGCCGTGTCTCGGGGAACACACCTGGCTGATACGTCTGCCAGGCAACCTCCCACAGCTCATCATTCATCCCCAGCCCCTTCTCATCCAGCTGGTGCCCGGTGTAGTGCCAGATCTTATAGCTGGGAGGGGGTGGTGATAGTGAAAGGAACAGCTTATTAACATAAACTGAACTTTCTGCGAATTAGTAGTAATTTTGTAAAAATTAAAGAATTCTAAAGCTTAGATATTATACATACCTCGAGAACAAATATGCCTCTTATGCAATTGTGGACTATTAATTGTTCCCTTATGAACTACATTTTGACAACTGGATGGGCGGATGGGATATTCCATTTAAAACAGGGATGGGTAAGGGTCGGAATTTTCTCCTCTCCGGATCCTTGGGTTAATCTTCCTTCCTACAATTTGATTTGAAGAAAGGTTGACCAACAGAACTAAGTACATGTTTTCCCATATCATAATTCTTATGCTCCCTTCATTTTCTTGAACTACCGTAGATCTTGAAACTTTCGCAGTGGCTCACGGTTAGTCAAAACCAGCCCTTATGTAATATAGAATGGTTCCATTTTAAACTAAAAAAAAGATAAGCCCTTACCCATTGCCGACCCTTAGTCTGGGAGATGTGGTGGCTGTGACAAAGTGGACGCCATCCGGGGACCAGGCAAAGTAGGTGGTGTCAGGAGCCTGCACCAAGGCTATCTTCTGGAGATTTCTTCTGTCCCAGACTTCCTATAGACCAAAACAAACACATTCTGGATCACTCAAATGGCTAGTCAACAGAAATGATCTGATTCACTTTATGAAGCTGCCTTGTGATTCAAGGAAGGGTTCTAGGAAAGGCATCTGTATAATTCTATTACTTGTTTTTGATTGCCAAATTCATCACAATACACTTTCTAACTTTCTTGCTAAAACTTCACTTTTTGAAGGATTACCATTCTTGAGCTGCATTCCTGGTGTGTTTGAAGGGCTAGTACAATGTAGAAGCCTAAGGTCAATACTTACTATGTTGCCTCGAAGGTTGCCAAAGCCAGCAAGGGCAAGGAGTAGCACGGTTAAAGAAATGACAAACAGTACACAAGAAACATCATACACCTCTTAAACATGAAGTGTTGCTCAATGCAAAGCCAAATGAGCACTTCTACTACAAATTCTAGGCACTGAGCTAGGCGGTACAACAGATATATGACTATAGCAGTGTTTCTGCCAGGAGACGGCCGAAGGCCGTCCCAACTGGAGCGCCGAAGGCCAAAATACCAAAAAAATACGCATAGAAATACGCACAGAAATATATATTTACCCGAAAGATTCTTGAAACTATATATTTCTTCACTAGAATATCGATGTGTGGTTGTGGAAAATAGCATTTTAGCGCTTATATCCTAACAAAGAAAAGTTGTTTACACGCGCGTCGCCTCGCTCAATCTTACCGCTGGCGCTGCAGCGGCCGACGCAACAACCAATCAGAGACGCAAAATGTGGACATGTGACGCAGGATTTGCAGCTAGCTGAGCAGGCCGTGCGCGGTGCATGAGACACATTTTTGTGTCGTACTGCAAGAGATAAATGCCTGAAAATAAACTTTTCTTATGTTTGAAAATATATCTAACAAGTTTATCTTTGAATAGCCGAGTGAAAATCAAACATATCGATGTCTGGTCCTTCGGTCCTACAACTATAGTCATTATACCATCGGTCCTATGACTATAGTCATTATACCAATAGGTTGGTGGTGAATATTACTTAAAAAGTGCTGTCAAATCACAACCAAACACATCCTGAAAGGATATTGTTGCCCTGTGGGTTGTAAGAGCACAGGTTCCTGGGTCCTGTACCGAAGTCAAACACAGGCTCACACTTCAGGTTGAAGATAGTGGCCTTGGCAGGCATGACTGTGGTAAACCTGGTTAAGGAACTCTCTCAGAATGGAAACAAGGATAGTATAGGTGAAAAGCAGGACCAATACAAAACATAAGCTACAAACAAAGTTTTGCCTTATGCAAAAATTAAAGGATACATCCATATACCACACAGAACTCTGTTGAGTCAGGACTCCAGTCAGTAGAGTAGATGGGGCCATTCTTAGCTGAAAATGATAAAAATAGATGTCACACGTTAGCTTCATGTCAATCACCCAGTTCATAGAAATATAAGAACATACAGTCCACACAGTTTCACATACTCATGCCACTTTGTTGACAACATGCAATGATAAAGATCAACTTCAAATATAAAATGTTAGTTTCACTTAACCTCAACTATGCTTTCACACACAGACACACAAACCCAAGACAATATTTGATACAAAACACCAAAATAAGGGGGAGTTTCAATCTAACACTCACACAGCTATACTATATTACTGTACTACATGTGTACTGCAAGACAATTATTTGTATTAAACACCATAATTAAGGATAGTTTGAGTGTGACACTCACACAGCTGTACTATACTGCTGACTCCATCCACCCCGATGTAGTGCAGGTTCTGTTCTCCATAGTAAGACTGTCCTGTCTGGTCTACCTCTGTGGCACACAGAACCAGCAGTCCAGTTCCTACAGGTACGTACAATACAGAGGGAATACACAGAAGTGCATGAACATGATGAAATGATACGGTAAATGCATTTGCTATGGTTTTATTTCACGGTATGTGGAAAATGGAAGTTTTTGCAATGTTTGAAGTTCACGGTGGCTGTGTAAGTAATCTTTTGGAAAATAACTTTGTTTTCTGTGTACTATCATGTAATCTATGTTCTATATGTACTGTATCAATCCTATAATAAGTATAAAATAGTGTAGTGGCTAGTCTTAAGTTGTATAGAACTTAGCAATGTTATAGGATTTTGCAATGGTGTAGATATTAGTCTTGATATTTGGTACTGCTCAAAAACTTGCCATGACAATAACTGCTCAACAGACATGCTTTGCTACATGAACAGCTGAGTATTTTACCTTTCTTGTTCCACCTGATATCTGCTTTGTCTGCCTTAAAGAAGCTCTTATTGGCCAGGGGTGTGGCAAAGTCTGGGCACTTGAACACACGGACAAAGGAAGGACCTCCCTAGAAAAATAAAATAACATTGTTCTACCCCATTAGTTCTACATTAGCAATTATAAGCAGCACATCTTACCATTAGAATTTGTTCAACTTGTCATCACAAAATGTCAATATGAATTATGATGTATGTGCTGATGATCACAGAAGCTACTGAGGTTTTAAACAGCTGTATCACAACTACAGTTTCTTTATTTCTCATTTTACAACAGTTGAACATCTCATAACTAAGGGTTACATTGTACTTATATTTCAGCAATACTTGCAATGTATAGTCTCAAAACTAAAAGCTGTTTCTACCTTCTGGCCAGGCACATACACGGCTATCTTGTGAGGGGGAGGGCCTGGGGACAGCCTGTAGCCTGCCACCTTCTGGACGTCTAGTTTCCGGGCTATGTGACCTAGAGTAGTCACAAACACAGATGAGTTTTACATGGAAAAGATATCAAATTTGATAACACAGTCTATATACATATGTTGTACATTGATGTTGGAACATTCTATTTTACAGTATATGACTTCTTGCCATCATTTAGCTGGTGTGTTACGCTGAAGGGGGTTATACTGGCTATACAGACACAGATATAGATACAGATTTAACCTGAAAGACAAGGATTTCAATGAAAGTAGAAGTTGCAATATTTTAAAGAAAGGTCCTTACTGAAGTCTCCATTCTCAAACAGGTGGATCTCGTTCACTGCATGTGCACACAGAGCCTCATCATCTGTCCACTGGGGCTCCCTATGGGGGGAAAGTAAAGTGGTGAAAATCAACCTTCAGGAAGTGTTGAACATCAATCTCCAAATCTAGCCTGGGTGCCAGACTCTTTCCAGGGCCTACACGGGTCAGTTTGAAGGCTCCGGGGCTAACACCAGCCTGGGTACCATCCAGATTTTGTCTCTGCAATACTCAAAAAATTTTGAACGTTGCGGAGCCAAAATCCGGATGGTACCCAGGCTAGGCCAACACTGCCCTGAAGGAAATTATACCACACCCCCTTCAATTAGGCCCCACATGCTGGCTTATAGTTTTAGGCCTAGCATGCTATGGGTCTTGCATTCAGGCTAGGCAAAATCAAGCATGAACCAAAGGCAAAACAAGACTTTACCAAATGTGTAACTTGGTGGTAAATTCGAATGAGTAATGAGTTATGAGGAGACTTACCAGTCTGTCTGTCTCTTGTGGACAAAACTCTTGGCCTTCTGTCCTGTCTTCATGTCCCACAGGTGCAGGTTGGGGTACGGAGGACCTTTACCTGGAAGGTTGGTGAGGTTATGGTTCAACTCATTGTTAATTTAATATAACAAAGGTAATTCATATTTTACAGGGCGCCTAATGCAAATGTCATTCTGCCTGTCAAATTTAATCCTGCCCTGTCTGGACACTCTCCAAGCAGAGGGTTAGGCTTATTTTTGACCTGTTATAGGCATTTTTATTAGTCTTTCTTGTAGTCCTTGTCTTGTACTGGTGTCTTTTTCTACACTTTGGGTAGCAAATGGTAACTACCTGGCAAATGGATACTGCCTGGCCAATATAATACATGTACTGTCTTTGCAGCCACTGAAAGATAGGCTTGGAGATAGCCATCTAAAACTATACATCACACAGTACCCAGAAGTAATAACGGAACTTACCTACTATCATGAAAGTTCATTTAAAGTTCATCTGGTCCAACACAAAAAATTCTCTCACCTAGAGCTTTCGACCAGTCAATCTGGTCTTCCTCAGTAGACTGACCCAGTGTTGACGTCACACTTCAAAGAAGCCAAGTGACAAGCTTCACTGGGTCTGTCTACTGAGGAAGACCAGAGTGACTGGTCAAAAGCTCTAGAGAGAATTTTTTTGTGCTGGACCAAAAGTTTTAAATTTAAACGGTACTTACCTACGATGACCTCCCAGGTAGCCATGTAGGTGCTGAGGGGTGAGAACAGGATACCCACGACCCGGGGATGCTCTTCCATCTGGTGCACAACCTCCCCACTGGGCAGTCGAACCACAGTCACCCTGCAGGAGAACAACACAAAACCAAGTGAGAAATTCCCTGTGTGTCGTATTTGTGTACATGTCAGAATGGAGCTACAGTTGTACGCTAATTGTGGATCCTAATAAATTCAAAGTAAACCAGCACAAACTTGAACCAAGTGAAACCCAGCACCAAGAGACCATGACTAATGACATTTATAGATGCTAAAGCTAGGACAATGTTACAATATGTAAAAAAGTGCTGATTCAATCAAAGCTCTCTTGAATTTGAAATCGTTCCACAACCATCCCATTTTTTTATCATCCTCCATTGATGTCCCCAAACAACTCCTACAAGTACAAGTTTGTGTCATCTAGAGGGATGTTGGAATTTGCAAGCAAATGTAGAATATTCCTCTTCCCATTCTCTATGGCAAACATTGTTTCCTGTCATCATAGACATGAAACTGCACAAATTGATGAGAAAGACCATAACTTACTGTTGTCCGTTGCACCAAGCAAACAAACTGCCATCTGGACTGAAGGCCATGACTTTACAGGCACGACTGTCATCCCTGAAATATGGAAATCAAATTAAATCAAAATTCTTATGAGGATGACAAAAGAAGAATAAAAAACGGACTGACTGATACATATCACATTGTTGCTATCAGTTGGACCGTGAATGTCATAGATTGTTTGACTGTTATAATAATATAAGTACTCTGAACAATGTTATCACTATAACATCAGTCAACATCAGCTTCAATATTTTAGAGTATTCAGACTTTGAAAGTATTTATGATGAATGGATATTGCAGGGACAAATAATTTGTACCTTCTGAATGCCTGGTTGACTCTGAGTGCAGGAGGCCCCTCCAGTAGGGACACCCCCTGGGTACCTCGTACTGTAGAACAATCATTCAAATCTCATGTCAGACTCAGAGTAAGGGACAACATATCACACATGTGACATAGGGGGAAAATATATGTAGAACAATAGATAAAGTTGTTTAGTCATTTCAAACTGGATTATGAAAGTTTAATGTGTAGACGTTTCAGCTAGTATCCACTAGCTTTCATCAGTACAAAGTGAGGAAATTTCCGGTACAAGTTCTAAAACTTAGAACTTGTACCGGAAATTTCCTCACTTTGTACTGATGAAAGCTAGTGGATACTAGCTGAAACGTCTACACATTAAACTTTCATAATCCAGTTTGAAATGACTAAACAACTTTATCTATTTATCTTATTCCTGGATGAGTAACCTTCACCAACGTATATGTAGAACAATTTTATAGGTATGTAGGGTAGGGTATGTTGGCAGGTAAGATACATGCAGTAGCCTTGACAGTAGTAGAGTCATCAGTCAGGTGGGATGTTTGTCCAGTTTGGACCGCTCCTAATCTGTCTCTGTACTTGTATGATATGACATAGAGGTAGCACGTCGGTAGAATGTACTGTGCCTCTGTGAAACCCGGATGTTTCACAGTTTTCGTTGGGTGCTTGTTCAACGTTGCATTGAAACTTTGCCCGTGCCAGACGATATCTTTTTTGACACAACATTTGAAAACGATAGGGTGTCATCATTAAATTAAGCAAACACGACCTTAAATGAAGAAAGGTCCCATTCCACTCTGTGCAGAGCATTGGGGTGGCGCCCATCTCCATTTCCATAGCCCTTGGGCCACACAGTTGTGCAAGCACTACAGCAAGGGGCTAGCTCGCTGGTAGTATTGTGTGTTGACCTTCCCATACTCTTTCTCATAGATGAGTGCTAAGCAGAGAAAGCAGTATGTACCATTTTAAAAGTCTTTGGTATGACCTGGCCGGGGTTTGAACTCACGACCTCCCGGTTACAAAGCGAGCTGATTGAGCTACTAAACGATACATCCTGTAAATAAAATGACATATGTTCCATATTTCGTGCTGCCACAGTACGTTCTGCTGATGTGCTAGCAAAGTGGCATGGCAGATGGATAGATGGATGGAGAAAGAGCGAGGGAGAGAAAGAAAGATGGCAGTCTTTATAATGCATCATAATTCAGGTAAAAACACATATCTAACCATGCAACAAATAGAACTATGACAGATATGTGTCAACGATATCCATCCATGACCCATTCTCTCGTTCCTTCATTCCTTGCACAATCAGCTGTCAAAAATAATAAATTGCTACATAAAAAGCCGGTCTAAAATGTCTCATATTTCAGCATAATTACTGGCTACATGGAAAACAGGTAATGATACAAAAACTTAGTATTCTTTTCCATCAATTGACACCACTGTCGTTGTAATATTTTTATGTTTATGACTAAAATTCGAGAACAGATTTTGGAAAATTTCTTACACGCCAAACTCGGGATGGGCGCCGCCATGTTGGTACCGCACAGCCTGACGGGAAGACTTTAAAACGCCACGAACTTCCGGTGCCAGCACCTTTCACTCAATATATCCTTCCACGAAAACAGCCAACATAGTCAAAGATTTGGCGACCAAACGTCACATTTCAAGCTAAAAGAAACTTTCTATAAATATCAAATGCATCAATTAATAAATTTCATAAGATTTAGTTGTATGTTTTGAGTACTTTCGCGAATTATGATTGGCACTATTTCCTAGCAGTGGAAGCGGACTAATTAAGGGTGTGACGTGGCTTGTTGATTTCCTCTCCAACGTTGCAGCTGAAGACGAAGACGCTGTGAAGAAAGCTTCCCTCACATTTCAGGGATTTGGACGGATATCTTGTTGCCGACCGCTACACCACCACACTGTCACCATGCCCAGCAAACAGAGAATGCGCCTTGCCAACGAGAAGCACTCCAAAAACGTCGACAAGCGAGGAAACGTGGCAAAAACATTGGTAAGTTGGTCTCGATGTGGCAGAGAAGTGTACCTGTGACGTTGCGGCAAGAAAAAATTCGCTTCTTCGTGGTTTCTTCGTTTTCTAAGATTTTCTTTCTTCTTTTGTAGATGCCAAAGGAAGAAAAATCACCCGTGGGACCGTGGCTACTGGCGTTATTCATCTTTGTCGTCTGTGGATCAGGTAAGTTTGTGCCTTCTGGCTTTAGAAGATTGTCTTGAAATCCGTCACGGATGAAACATATGTACGCTTTTCACCGCTGTTACCTCCAAAAAATAACTATTTTCACCTCCCTACCAACTATGTGAACTTAAATCTGAGTGAGAACCAGGTTGATCTAAAATGTGTGAGAGTTTTGGAAAGATCGGTCGCTCTAGGAGGAAAATATTGAAAGATTTCCCCGTTTTTGGCCAAAGCGTAGGAAGCAAGGTGGCCATCTTGGTGTGTGACGTTGCACACTTGTCTGAGGGATGCCCCCACACTTCCGCCTTCCTTCCACAAATCGATATTTCTTGTTCTTCGACTTAAAGACGTTGTAAAACAGGACGGGGGCGATTTTAGTCAGTTCTGGGAAGAGTTAGGGTTGGGGATGACACGTTGAATGTTTATTCAAGCGGAGAAACTGGATGGGTTCAAAGTTCGCTGGATAATTGTCAACGTGGCCGGACTGAGTGACGCCTGGAGGGGACAGACTACTACTCTCCAAGCAGAGGTTTGGGGTTTGGCTTAGTTTTGGCGTGTTTTTAGGCTTTTATCGGGCCTTCTTTTTGGGGGGGGGGGTGATAGGCGTAAAAGAAAAAGGGAAAAAAGAAAGCCGGATTAAAAAACTGAAAACACGACAAAAATTAGCCAAACCCAAACCTCTGCTTGGAAAGTGGACAGACTACTATGGGCAGTGGTTCTATGTTGTCATTGTATGCAAAGTTGTCTGTTTACTAAAACAATACAGAGACAACTTCAGGCTTTCTCACAACACATTTAGACTTGCATAATTTGGTTAGACAATGATTTTGGTTTTGATATCAAGATTTGTCTCAACTTATGTCTCTACTAGCAGTAGGTGTTTTATTGGAAAAAACAAATCCTTTGGGCATTTTGCCAGAAGTTATGCAAGCAATTTGCTAGTGTTTGTGTGTATTGTATTCGCTATGATAAACACTGTGACAAATTGTAGCACATGTTGTTGTTGTGGTCACAGGCCAAACATATCTATTACCTGCACATAAATAAATAGACAAAATTTTCCAGAAATTAAAACCTTTTTGAACTTAATGATTTCATGTAATTTTATGCATTTTACATACAATTAGTAATACAATTTTATGCATTTTACATACAATTAGTAATTATTACCTTAGCACCTCTTCTGTTGATCAAGTTTTGCTCTTTCTTTTCTGTGTGTGTTTGTTTCAGCTGTCTTTGAAATCATTTCCAAAATCCGAATTGGGTAGAAACTGTCATCTTTGTGGCCACCAATAGGTATCTGTTTTGACTGCATGGTTTGATTACATTTCAGTGGATTGTCTTCTCTTGTTTTTTGTTTTACTTTAGGACCTGCTTTTTGGTTATTTTTGTTTACTTTGGAATATTGTCATTTTATAACCATTATGATAATTCATTCAGCAGCAATTTTTAGGGTACAAAACAATAGGGTAGGAGAAACATTCATTCATGCATGGTACAAACAAGCATTGTGTGAAGTTAGGAAATTTATTCAGGTTTTGTACACAAAAACATCCTGCAGTGGAGCTGGAAATAGCACCTTATCTTATCGATGGTTAGACCTTGCTAACATCGACCTCTGCGTGTGTTGCTAAGGGATTGAACTGGTTTGTTAAATTTTTGTTTATGATCTAAATTTTGTTTTTGTTTTTTCTTCAGCTATTTTCCAGATCATCCAAAGCATCAGGCTCGCTTAATGTGTGTCAGCAGGGGGAATTGTGGGAAACAAGATGGCGGGACCAACCATGACTGCAACACTACCGATCCACCGACTACGAACCGAGTAAACCTTCTGGAAATTCGCGCAGGCCACGGAAATATTCCCGGGATTCGCAAAAAAGGACACGCAATCTGGAGTGTTAATCTTAACCTTCCATCCCCGAACTCTGACCCTCCAATAGTATCCAACAATAGAGATGATAGAATTATTGTCAATGAGCAACTCCCAGTCTCCTCCAATAGAATCAGTTGTTAGATTCATTCCCATGCTGTGTTACAGCCCCTTCCATTGGTCAGTCTTCTGTAATTATATCTCAAATTTGCATGTTGTCATGAGCTCAAGTTCTAATACTAGCAAGATAGATGCAGGGCTCTGTCTCTACTTGTGAATGAGTAATGCCTTAATATCCTGTCTGATTCTTCCTATTGGTTAGCGAGGATGGTATCATCGGAAGAGAGAAGGCAACTGTCTGTTTTGACTGTACATAAACAGTATCTATTCTGGTAATAAATTGATAAGGTAATCACACACAAATGTCTGCTTGTGTATCTTTGTTAAGTCCTTGGTTTGGAGAAGGGGTGACTGGAGATATATGAATGAAGACTACAATGAAAATTAAGACAAGTTGTGGAGTTTTTGAAGGTGGAATCACAATCATACTTTGAGAAGAGAATACTGGTACATACTTAAAATCCTCGAGCCTTAGCGAAGCTCCAATGCACCATTAGCTACTCGAATAAGCACGCATTTAAAAGCTTGACGAGTTTGGTAAATTAGGAATGGATATATGTTGTTCATCTAACACAGAAGTGTTTTGAGAGTAATTTTTGGAATAAAGTGTACTTAAAATTGGGGGGGGGGGTAGTTCCCAGTCCCTGGTGCTAAACACCATCCCCACCCACGATATCAAGCAGATCTTCTGGTGTCTGCAAAGCCAGGCAGTATCCACGTGGATGGTCTTCCTACAGCGCCACCTAATGACCAGTGGAAGTACTGCAGAAACAGACATCGTATGAAAGCCAGTGACCGCAGTATCTACACCCTTCACTAGGCGGCGCTTTAGAAGCATGTCACAGCCAGGTGCAGCTCATTCGTATTGGCATATATATATAAAGTTTCCAGATTTGGGACTGATCTTGACTTTCGAACGTTGTAAGAGAAAAAGCAACAGAGCAATTTCTCTTCACTGTTATGTCTTTTGTTCAACATCCTATCTTGTCTGGTCCTCTTGTTGGTGCTGCAATGTACTGTTATTGCATCATTTGTAACCACCTGAACCAAAAGGCCTTGTATTTTGTAACATTGAATACGTATTGCTTTCTGTCAAAACAATTTGGGACAGTTGATATACAAGTACACGGTTTACTAGAGTTTGGTAGACTGTCCAGGGTTCAATGAGGGCCTGAAAGGGGGGTAGTGATTACGAATTACGCAAAATTTTCGCCACCTATTACGAATTACGTTAAAGTCTCCTAGCTGATTACAACTTTACGATTTGCGGAGAATGTCCTATTACGAATTACGTTGATTTTTCCAGAGGCTGCCTACGAATTATGAAGTCTAAAACGGCCTGATTACGCCTTACGAAAAAGGGCTTGCAGGCCCTCTTCAATAGTGCCCCAAACCTTCCCCCAATATACATGTGATTTGATCTGTGATAGTTACTTGCGGTAGAATGACAAACTACATGATTGAGTGTACTAGCTTGGTTTTGCTACCAAGTTAGACTTTCCTTAGAAGCAGAGGTAAACGAAGGAGGCAACAAGAAAACAAATTAGCAAGAAACAAAGAAAATGGGTCAACACATCGAGTACTTCTTCACCAAAACCTCCACAAAGCTGAGGTTTCCATTTGTTTTATTCGTTTTTATCTACATTTCAACATTGCCTTATCTACAAAGTTGTGGTGCATAATAATACACAAGTGACTGGTTTTGGTTGAAAAGCAGTTCTTAGCTTGCATGTGTTTATAAATTTTCTGCCAAGAGAAATATTTATGGCTATCAATTTTTTTCAAGTATGATACAGAACATGGAACTTGCTTGGTTGATATGATCTGAGTTTCTCAGCGTTTAACAGAATAGGAGCAAACTTTTCAAAAACATAGCTACATACAACCGCAGTGATGTGTTCGGATTTCCATACCGCTTTATATAGCAAACCTTAAAATATTGCAAATGGTTTGGAGATTAAGAAACTGCCTCAAACCAAAAGAATCACATGGTAAGAGACACAAACATAACACCATTTTAAAGTACATGGAAAGTTAAGTACACATTATGATTCTCAATAAAAAGATTACACTTTTAAGTAGGAATATAACAATAACTTTGGTGAATACCAGTGCACTGCTTCATAGTTCTTCATTGGTATAATTCCACTAACAGTACATTGGTTCTTTCCTCTGTATAATCTAGAATTTGCCAGTGTATTGTCATTCTTACCTTTAGTATTTCTTATATCTAGAAGGCAATTAGTATAAGTTTGCACATGGATATGTCATATACAAGACACTTTTTTAAGTACACAAGACAAAGTACATTGCTCAAGTTACTCATAATCGTAAAAGTCCAGCAATAAGTATGATCAGTATTAGGAATGAAAGTACACAAGATTTTCTCTCAATTTCTGAACAGCCTTTTCTTCTTAAGCATAGTTCTTGTTTCTGAATAATTGTTGCAGAAGTGCATACTAGTATGTGCTATGGTTAATATAATCACATCAAGCTGGCCATGTACTAGTATCATGTCCATCTTGTGTTGGTACAATTTGATTTTCCTTAGAGTAGCGATGTCTTCTTTCCTTCAGATTAATCAGTCAATAAAAGAGATTTCATGTTTCGAATAAGTTGCTTGTGTCAGTCCTATTCCCACTGTTCCCTATACACTTTTGGGAGGAGGGGGAGATACAGATGAAGGTATTTTGTGGCAATACAATCAGGTGTGGACCTAAGAAATTAGCAGCACTCCGCGCAAAATATTGTAGCATGGACTGATCCAGAACAAAAAATGACTACAAATCCCTGAAAAATTATAATGCTGAGGATCACTTAGGCCAAAGGAAGAATTATTTCCTGCATAATAATAAAACAGTCAGTAACGCTTGAACTCAACGATACATATACTTAATACACGTAGTACATGAATGAGTAAGATTATAAAATAAATACTGGACTTCCGAACTACCCCTACCCTACCCCTACCATAACACAGTCCCTTGCCTGCCTACATGAACAGATACAAGGCACTACATCATAACCTACCAGTTTATACTTCTTACCGAGATATTAGTGGGTTACTGAAGACAACTGTCTCTTCAGAACAAATAGCAGGCTGGGTTTTCAAGAGGCCACTTTTCATCATACTAGTATTTGACAGATTTTTCAGTGTTTTTATCATTGTATTTTCTTGCCTTGACACACCATTTCACTTTGAAGTGGTGTAAGACCAAGAAAAATAGTGTTCTTACAGTTGGTATGGCTCTAGATATAAAAGAGACAGGGCTAGTAAGTAACAACTGAGCATCGATGAAGAATGTAGAAATCATAATGCTTAGCACAGAAAATTTCCCAAGTGTTGTGGCTGTGAAATATCAACATCCAATTGGTCTGCCATATTTACAGAGGAATACTCAACAAAATTCCGTTTTCGTCTTTTGCACTGTTCCCAATCGGAACACAATTTTTATGCTTGGCATAAGTAAAACATCTCCAAAGTTTGCTGGTCGCATCAGAAGTACCAAACTTGTAAAAAATAAAATAAAAAGCGCTGTCATACGTAAGATATTTGACACATGGCTTGTAAAAAAGTCAAGCTAACAACAGAAACATATTTCACTGGCAGTCCAAGCATGAAAGGTCCAACAGTACTCATGAAAACCAACCATCATGAAGAGCAATTGATTTTTCAGCCAATCATAATCCTTGGATCAGGTAATGTGATTTTCGTATTGACCAATCATAGGCCCTTACTTCTTGGGCCAACTTGCTGTTCACAAAGTGCAGGTTTTTCAGAACACCACATTTCCACATGCTTCAATGTGCTTTCATCGGAACCAAAAAAAGAACTCCAGTTTTCAACACATTGGCATTAGAGAAAGTGGTATTAGTTACTTCATACTGTAACATGTTCTTAGTCTATACTCCTTAGTAACTATACAAGGATGTTTCTTGTTATTTTATGCTAACATTCCTTGTATCAGGCAGTTGTGTCTTCACATTGCTGCACTTATTGTGGATATAGACTGATTCACAGTGACCTAACACAGCCATTCTCTCATCATTACATTGCATCTTTTGCTTACCAGCCTCTGAAGATTCTTAACTCCTTCTCAAAAATACTACCTTTTCAATAATTCATTCTGTACGTATTCACAGTTCTGTACAAAAAGAGGGGCCCTTCAGTCCGCTACATTGCTTGCTCTACTATCTACAGGTCCTGTACGGTTGTTCCGTTCCTATGACGTTGTTGTGGGCGGCTGGTTTTGTGTGGGAGGAGGCTGGAGTGTGTTCAACTGTTCTAGGACGTCGGAGCTGGCGTTCTGCTTCAGGAGGCTGTTTTCTCTCTCCAGCTGCTGATTTCTCTCGATCAACTCTTTGATCTGTTCCTTCAGTACCTCCACTTCCTCCCGGACGGCGTACATGAGATGACTTTTCACTAGGTCCTGCGGAAAACACAAATTTGAGAAAAAAAATGCTTAGTTTAAGCTCACACATTGCTAAATACACATTTGTACATCTACATACTGTATGTCCTCCCAAACCCATCACTTAAAAAGAGTGTACACTTTGCCACTTATTTGTCTTTTCATCTACAACTTGATAGTCAATCTTCACAATTTTGTGCTACAGCCCTGTCTTTAAACTACTGCCTGCTACAGAAGTACAAATTTGTATTGGATCTGTGTTTAGGGAGAAGGTTACATGTAAATGCCTTTGACATTTTCCCCTCCCATCTCTTTTCCAAGCATGGCCTAGTTCACAGCATGAGACAGACATGATACAAGTGTGGTGCCCTCATTATCATGAGGTCTGAAAAGGCAGCTTGTACTTTAGACAACTGGACTTCACGTGGAATAACACGAGGGGTGAAGTCATCAACACAGAACGTTTCACCCTTCCATATCTTTTCCAAGCATGGCCTAGATCACAGCATGAGACAAGCCTGGTGCCCTCATTCTCATAATGTCTGAAAACGTGTATTGTACGGAGAGCTGGACTTCACGTGGACCCACACGAGGGACAAAGTCACCACCACATGGCTGCTCCAACCCCAAATCTATCCTTCTCTCTTTCTTATTCTTAAAGACAATACAAGGAATTATCAAACTACCTAGTGGACAACTTCAGAAAAACGTATTTCCTTCAAAAAGTGTTAATTTTCTTGGTTTTGTTTTTGTTCGATATTGATATCATTATGGAAAGATTTTTTACATAGCTTGTTATAGAATTTGACTTACACAAAATGATGTAGACATGGACTTACTTATAGATGGGAGATATAATATTGTCTGCACTGACACCCTTTTGTGGCACTTTGCTTGCCTTTATCTCCATGCAGAAAGTACTGACACCATACAAAGATTACTGAAACTGAACCAAAGCCCATTAAGACTTCACTGAAACATGTACAGCACTCTTAGTGCAGCTATGAAAATCTCTGAGCCCATCTTCTGTCTACAAAATGATAGCGGAGAGGATTTTTGTGTCAGGAGGATGAGCTACCATGAGTTTGATTGACTGCTGAAATGGATTAAAGGATTACCGGACAAAAATCCCTGGTAATCCAAGTCATTATTCAGGATCTTTATGTAAGATACAGGTCACATGAGGAGTCATTTGAAAGGGGCATGTAAGGATAGACTGAATTTCAATTATTATTCATTTCAGTCAAGATGAATTACACCAGGAACAAAACTGCATTAAAAAATTGAATGTGCACATGGATGACCTTAAACTTGTAATCAGTACTTTAAACTTGTATTCAAGTGACTTTCTTCAGATTTTTTCTTTCTCTGTAGCCTGGTTACCAAACCTATTATAGCTCCTGACTGAGTCCTACAGCCTCTCCGCAAATAGGAGGACTCGGGAGCTATAATAGGTTTAGTAACCAGGCTAGGTATTCTGGAATATACATGTAGAATACAGATGCAACATAGATGTTAAGAGTTCTCCCTCCGACTAAAAAACATTTCTTTCTTAGATCTTGGCACCATCGCTTGCCATTTGACATTTCCTCAGATCTCATTCCGGAAACGGGAAGATCAAATAAACCGTAATTTCCACGGGTGGAACGACGGTGTTTCTTTGTTGAATGGTTTTCAAACAGGGATGCCGTCTTGTCAGCTTTTTATCTGTGAAGGTCACGCTAATTGGCAAAATCAGCGATCGATATTTATTAGGACTCGGGAGAGAACCAAGGCCACTAGCATCCAGCTCGTGGCAATTTGAAGTCTGGTCTGTACTAATTTACTGAAGAACCTTCTCAATTGATGCCCAAGTGGCTGTGAATATGTGTACAATTCCCTCATAATCAATTTGCCACTTAAGAAATTCAACTTCACCACCAATCCATAGACTGTACACAGTTGTATAACCACCAGATGACCTTGCAAACTGCACATACTTGTGTAAAATCCAGGTTGACATTTCAACACCCTAACAAAAGAAAGCATTCCATGCTCTGACATCCCCTTCTTTTTGAGTGATCGGGTTGATTTCAACCTTTCTGACAACCTGCAATCTTGCAGCTGAGAACAAAAGAAGGTATTTCACGCAAGTATGGTTGTTTTTCATACCTTTCCCCCAGCCAACCTTGAGTTGTTTACACCCCACAGGTACAGTACTACTGTACTTTGTACTTGTTGATGGATGGTTAGTGCCAGTGTAAATAGGTCAGACCTTGCATAATAAGATAAGGGTGCCAAAAGTTCGCTGACCCACAGGTTGACATTGAGTGGTATGTTGGATAATCTGATCCTTAGTGTCAATACAGTAGGCTAGACTCTTTTAATACAAGTTTCTGAAAAGGGAGAACTCGTCTTAAATGTTGGTTCTTTCACCATATGAGTCTGTAAACTAGGAAGATATTTTCCATTCCGTTCTGTCAGTTCAATTTTGACCTCAGCAAAGCTGCAGCCGCTGACTCCTAGTAACTTGTGAACTTTGCACATACAAATGTTTGCTGGCACAGAAAACAGGCCGGCTATCAGTTTACACAAGTCTAGTGACCCTGAAAACAAAATTCAGACATTGACAACATGTAGTTTAATCATAATGCAAATGGCTCTTGCACTTCTTCCCTTCTTGATTCTAACAATTTTTTTGATGATTCACTCATCTCAGAACCTTATGCTATGGCGATAATATTATATGGGGAACCATTTTTTCATTTGCCATTAGACGTTTGTTCTTTGCAGCTGGCACATCTTTTAAATTCATGTCCGCATCTTTTAAGCTTAGTCACCAATCTGCAGTCCAACTCTAAATTGCATACGCAGGTCTATTATGGTATTAGCCTTGGCACAACATTGACTTTGAAGTCAGCGGATGTTTTACCAGCTTTAAAACACTTCCTGTAGGTTTGGTATCATACTTAGTCCAAATGAAACTCTCTGGTATTGTATCCTGCACAAATCTGATGTATCGACGGTCGGTTTAGGTGGTAAACTAATTTTAGTAATTTTCGACATCACAAACAGCTGAAGGAGGGTGGAATCACTTGGTGAGTGAGACTTTTCCTCTTCTAGTGTCCTCTAAACTAATCTGTATTGATTTTGAAATGACCTGGGACAATATTTCCTCATTTGTGACAGCGCTGCCATTTTTTGCTTTATCATTCTACGGTGAACATAATACAGGTTTATATTTTTGGGAAACAACATACTTACCGTTGCTATTTTCAACATGTACATTGATTTTGACACAAACAATTATAGGTGCATAACATATTTTCATTGGGTACTTAAAGTCATTAATATCATAAGTCAAAGGTTTTAATTATACTGCTTTTTATGATATCAAACTGTACCTACTTACTTGTTAATAGATTGGGATGGATCAGGAATAATACAGCAAATATGAAAAATATTACATATTACCATAATCTTTTCCCCCTCATGCATTAATGCAAATCTATATTCTTTTGTTAGGGCCAGAATTTTCCTTGAACAAATCCCCCGTATCTTTACACAAGCCCTTTAAAGCTCCATATGGTTCATGTAGGAGAATGTTTTTGCAGCTTTCGTGTTCGGAGGCACCACGCCTGGTGACTTTGTACCTCATGTTTACCTGCCTTTATGCTGACCAAGTGAAAATAAAAGCGTAAGTCTGTGTACATAGCACAAAGCCAGGAATGCACACGCACAAAAGGTGCCCTTCGGAATACCACGGTTACCTTAAAAAGGTGAAGACTCCTAAATCATTCATTATGTAGAAGCATTTCTGTTCCTTTTCAAGGACCCAGGCACCTGGTATGCCCAGATCAAAGGTCTGAATGCAGAGACGTGTTTTGTAATGCATGTGTTCAATTATTCATGATAATATGGAGGTGTTGTTGTTCTGGAAAATTTCCACGTACATTACAATACGACTTACCTGTCACAAGCAAGCACAATGCCACATCTCAACTTGATTTTGACAAGGGATGTTTTTCACACTACAATTTCATGCTATTGAAGGGATATTAAGGTGAAATTTACATGCAAATGACACCGACACAGGTCCTATTCACTAGACAGTGCATGTGTAATTCCCAGAGGACACTGAGTAATAAAAAAAACTGGCTTACCATTGCTTGCTCTATCTTGTTGTCTATTGCCACCACGTTTGGAGCATTCGTAGCACTGTAGTTAACACAGAAGAGAAGCTTTTGGTTAATATCATGTTACCATACACAAACATACATCCAAGGTCTATGTTTACTTCCTCATTGTCTGGCTGAAATATCACGCTACAAACACTGACCTGCCACAATCGCAAGAACTGTTTTTCCTCCCTTCCTCTGCCACCTTGAAATCCTGAACACCCTCAGTCCAGCTAACATGCGGAGAGAGATCGGGAGTTCTGGGGATATCTTGCAGAAATTGGATACTGAATGTGGTGGCGGCAACAGTGGCTTTCGGGTTGCAGTCCATTTTGTACAACACATCCATTGGTAACAGTTCGTTCCTGACGACTCTACCACCACAAAAAAATGACTCAAACTCCTAGCAAATGGTCTATCCTTCCTTGAAAGATCAACCTGGAGGTATATTTTTCCTCCTAGCTGTACAGTAAAGCTGACTGTGAGAGCTGTAACCCACACGTCCGTACCCTGGCCTTACAGCCTACTGAATACACAGGCAGGCAGCCAGGCTCTCATTGCATCATGGAAAATTCCAGGTCAGGGGTGGACGACCTCATGGGCTATTGTTCTCAGGTGGGAATGGGCGGTGGCCTCAGGCGATGGCCCAACGGGACTTGTTATGGTAAACATACCCAAACAACACCGTAATAAACATGTTGTCTACAAACATGGCTTTGTAGATGGCTTGTTGTGATACAAATAAAACAGACCACATACAGGCAATGAAATAATCCTTAACAGTGCAAATGCAGATAGGGTACATGACTCAGCATATTATATCACAATCAAAATAACACAACCCTACCTGCTACAATTCCTCATACAACCATCCCAGCTATGCAGCATATTTTAGCAAGCCCTTTTTCTGATCTAAAGATACACAATTTCTATAAATATATACCTGGTTGCAAGCAGAATGTAGGAGAGTCTCCTAGGCTGTTGACTGACTAGATGCCTCGCATCATACACACTAGTAGTAATGCTGTTGTCATCCCTTCTCACTTCCATACCCCTGCACACAGCTACTGTCATATAGTCTGATCTCTGCGTCTTTTCCTCTGGGAATCAGTGTTGAATAATACATTACTACCCACACAACTGGCTGGGCCAGGACGTAAACATGTGTATGCTTTTCTTGCCGGTAAAAACATTCGAGCTGCCCAAGGACTTTGACATTCAAGCATAATCGACCCAAATTTGGGACAATTACCATTAAACACCTACAAAACGGCAGCTTTAATGTCCTTGTTTTTTATGTGCGAAATTGAAGGTGGAAACGAAAGTAAAAATAACCCGGCGACCAAAAGTAAATCGGATGACTCATGACTCATTGGGAGTGGTTCAGACGCCCCAGGAAGAATTTATTTGCTGCACCCACTTAACGACTTGGAAACCAGTCAAGTTGCAGACTTGCAAACAAGTTTTACGCACATGTGCTAAACATTTGATGGATTTTGGAGAAAATGCATGAAAACAAGACATTTAAAACATACCAATCGTTAAGCTGCAAATTTTGTTATTTATCAGGTATTAAAAAAAATTGTGCTATCGAGAATTGTTGCTGAAAAGGTACTAAATTATCAAAGTAAAAACGCAACACTGATAATTCTTTCAAAAAGAAAATATATCCATTCTTCTAGACTGAAGCCTTTGATATTGGCTCTTTTTGAACATTATAATGACACTGAAGAAAACAAAAATATCTACCAGTATAGACCTTTCAGGGATCTATTAAAGCATCACGCAGCAAAACACGTGAAGCCGTCCTTATTTATTCCACAAGCTTCTTCCGAAACCTTGAAGAGCCACGCAGTCTTCTAATTGAGTTCTTTTAAGTTTACTCCATGACAACAGAAGATGGGACTACGTAAAATCCACTTTGGTTTGTGTTCGTTTGATGTTTGAAGGGCACAGGATGGAGAGATGCCAGCGTGCATGTACTTCATGTTAATGAAAAACAGTTCGGCAAATGGAAAAACAGCAGGGAGGAAGTGGCGGAACTTGGAGTTCATGCTTTGCAACAATATAAAGTAGAATTCTGGAAAGATCTCTTGGCTCTCACACTTCACAGCTACTGCGCATAGAAAAATTGATTTGTCAATTGACTTTAGGATTCACACTCAATATTACGTATATTGTGATTTAAAAAATCAATAAAACAAAACAAGATGTATTAGCATTTTGATTTGATAGCTTTTAATAATAATAGCTTAAAAGCTATCTTCCGGTCTACATGTACTTCTTCCAATATAAACTGTAGCTTCCAATTTCCTTTCTCAGAAACATAGAACCATTTGACTTAATTGCTAGGACCTCATATACATTCACATTAAGAGATTTTAAGTGGTATAGTTACAGTAATTGATGTTTGACGTGACGTTCAGACCAGGTAGTGAACGTCAAAGATTTCGTACCCTGTACCCGACCAAGGTTATGTATCTATGTATAGCTGACCTTTAACATGTAGATGGTGAGAAAACATGTTGACGTGAGCGGCATGTTAGTTCAACATCACTGGCTACTTGGAAGTCATACGTATATCGTATGCAAATTCAGGGCTCAAAATTCATTTTTGGGAATAGGAGCACTGTTGCACGCAACCTAGAAAATTAGGTGCACAAAAAATTTTTTGGGTACACCATATAAAACAAAACATAATTGCAGATCTTACAGCGCCTCTTCTAAGCTTGAATTTAAAATGAGAGCTAACTTCAAAATCTTAAACAAGTACTACAACAAAGATTTTATTATTTTTCTGATACTCTGAGACCAAGAATATCCGGTATACTAATATACATTTCTATTGTTAAAAATTCCTACAAAAATATTTGGGTGCACCGGTGCCCCCACAGAAAAAAATTGCGTGCACAGCTCCAAATTGGGTGCACTAAGGTGTACATGCACGCAGTATTTCGAGCCCTGGTATATGTCGTATGCAAATTACACCGGAATTCTTAACTTAGCTTGCCAAGGTGAAGTTACATGATTGTGAGTTGTTTTATTCAAGAAATGGAGTATAATTATACAGTTCTGTGAATTGCCATGAATGAACATGCTCATATGTCCTTGACAGCTTTTTAGAATAACAAACTATATATAACATATAACCTCTACTTCAAAGTCATTCATAGGTATGCAGGTATAATCTAATTACACGGGTGCCAAATAAAAATGTTATAAGTAACCAAAAAATAATGGTTGGGATCATTGTAAAAAATGGAGCTAGCTTTGGGTAAACCAGCACATCGGCAGAACGTACTGCACCTGTGCGAAACCCGTAATGTATTGTACATAGCACTTCGGCAGAACGTCTCATATAAGGTTGTATTCGCTCATATTAGGTTAGCATTTCGACAGTAGTTTCCAAATGTTGTGTCGGAAAGAATATCCTCTGCAACAAGCAAAATTCTGATGCAACGTTGACCAAAAACCCAACGAAAAACGCGAAAATACGGGGTTCTGCGCAGGCGCAGTACGTTCTGCCGACGTGCTGGGTAAACCATGCTTTTAGTTTGTACCAGTGGGACCTATACATAACACAGTAATGTGGGCAACTATGCTATTAGTATACATTACTTGATCTGTGTGCATAGACTGTTGCATGGCTAAGCACTTTCTATAAAACTCAGGGGACAGCTTTTTTCAAAGGTTTAACATGATATCAGTAACAGTATTTTCTAAAAGATGTTCAAAGAAAATCCCCGAGTAGATATATAAGTATATGCTGCTCACGTCAAGTATATTATTATTCAAACCATTCCTCAATAAAAAGTATCCGTGCAAGGAAGTACACAACAAAGCACATGGTATGAAACGTGCGTGTGCACACATGGCTGAACATATGAGCAGGGCCAGGATGGACATACCTGGTCAATAGTGGTCATGCTTCAAATGTTTGACGTCAAGAGGGTCAAAAGGTGGGACCACCTGTGTTCACCTGTCTGTTCTGTGTAATCTACACTCATTATCTATCGTTATGTAAGGGACATTAAAACTAGGACAACACTGTATCTACATGTATACACCACTATAAGTAAGAATGTATATGATGTCGTAAGTGCAGTCATATAATAGAAATCAAGCATTCATCATGGCATTATGAGTCTATGTACGACTGATTCTCAGTGATAGCCAGTAAATAGCCTCCATAGCATGCCAAAAACTGGGGGTTTTGGGGGTCTTCATGGTCTTTGGGGGCTTTTATGTGCTATTTTCTGATTGCATATAGACAACGTAGCCGGCCTGGTTGAATTACCCCCATTTTTTAGAACTGGGCTAATCAGAAAACAGCCGAAGACCACCAAACCCCCAGTTCTATAAGCCTGCTACGGAGGCTAGCCGGTAAACTGGTTAGTTTTTAATCTCTGGATAAGTGGTGTGATTGTTTACAGACAGTTGATGGCCCGATTAGTGGTCAATCACATGACGCAAACACCTAACTGACCCATTAACCTTTGCTGGGGGGAGAAATCTCTCAAATTCCATCCTAATTATGCCATTACGAAACAGATACATTATGATGCAGAAAGGGCAATCTGCCCATTTACAAAACCTGTGGTCATCATCTGATTTCTTCAATTTCGTAGAAGGCCACACCAATTTAATTTCTTGGTTAACGGATTCGCCCGCTTCATTTTTTTCTGATTTGCAAAAAAAAAATACAGAATCAACTGCAACATGCTCATATTTTGACCTGAACAGTTGAAAACAGTCCTTTTCTCCCTTAAGTTGTTACAGTTATTCCATATTTGAATTCATTGTTTAAATTTTGAACCAGCCTGGTGTGTTGACTTCATGGCTCCTATCGTACCATTTTGGGCCATAATATCAATAGGATGCCTAGGCCTATTTTCATTTTTTATTTTTTCGCCCGCCTGCTCCATTATCTTTCTAGAATAATCCGTTTACCAAGAAATTAAATTGGTGTGGCCTAAAGATTTCAAACATTTGGCCACTACTGCTATGGTTATGATGCATTAATTATCTTCACTTATACTA